TGTGTGGGGCAGTGTTTGGGGGGCAGTGTTTGTGGGGCAGTGTGTGTGGGGGGGACAATGTTTGTGAGGCAGTGTGTGTATGGGCAGTGTTTGTGGGGCAGTGTGTGGGGGGGCAGTGTATGTGTGTGGGGCAGTGGGTGTGTGGGGCAGTGTTTGTGGGGGGGGAGGTGGGTAGGGAGGCTTTTTAATAATTTTTTTGGTAATTTAATTAAATAAATAAATTTATGGATCCCTGGTGGTCCGGTGGGGATTCACTGGTGGTTCCAGTGGTGAGAGTGAACTCTGACCCGTAGCTCCAGGGCTAGAGTTCACTCTCGCGAGGTAACCACGGCAACGCACTGTGCTTGCAAGAGTAGGACCCAGAGGAGCTGCAGGCTGAGCTCCCGGGTCCTTTCTCCCTCCCCCCGCCGGCTGCCAGCACAGTGCCTGCGGACCGGGGAGGGTCCCTCCCCGGTCCACAGGCACATTGCAGGGCCAGCACTTGGACAATGCCAGCCCTGCATTAGGTGGCAGGGGAGAATCTCGGGGGGGGGGGTCAATTGCCCCGTTGCGATTTTTTCAGTGTGAAGGCCAAAGGATAGATTGGGGTCTAGCAACATACCTAGGTATTTAAAAGAGCAGACTGCTGTCAGTGTGCTATTTGAATTTGTTCTGATACACACTTATTGATTTTGTAGTTTACGTAATTTAGGTACAGTTCCAAAGATCATTGTAACAGTTTTGTCAGTATTTAGGAAGAGTTTGTTATCCGCTATCCACTTTTCTACCACTGTGAATTGGTTTTGGAGCACAGCTTCAAGCCGCGGTGGATTGGGTTTACTAGCATAGATTACAATGTCATCTGCATACATGTGTACAGTTGAGGATTTGTATTTATTATTTAATTATATATTTAATGTGAGTATTGAGCCTTGGGGAACACCACACGTGACTGGAAGAGGGAGAGAAGCGCTATCAGAAACGGCCACATATTGCAATCGGTCTGAAACATATGATCGAAACCAGGGTAGCGGATGATCACCAATGCCTGAGTTTTTACATTTTTGCAAAAGAATGCCATGGTCTACTGTGTCAAAGGCCTTGGCAAAATAGCTCCCGTTAAGTCTCCTTGTTTCATGCCAATTTGGATGTCATTGCAAACTTTTAAGAGGACAGTCGAAGTTGAGTGATTTGGAAGAAAGCATGATTGATCAGGGGTCAATAATTTGATTGTTGATAATATTCACATAATTGCGTATGGACAAATTTTTCCAAGATTTTTCACAATACCGGGAGCAATAATATTGGGCAATAGTTAGATACCAAAGTATTGTCACCACTTTTATGGATAGGTACAACTTTTGCAGTCTTCCTAAATGTGGGTATGTATCCTGACACCAGGGATTCATTGAAAAGGGTAGTGACAGGGTTAGCAATTGCTGGCACACTGAGCTTCAGCAACATTGCTGGGATTTGATCTGGTCCACACTGGTTTTTCATTTTTAAATTATTAAGTTGTTTATTAACGACACTTACAGGCACAGGTCTAAAATGTATTTCTCTATATGAGGAGTTTGAAGATTTGGCAGGGCCGGATCTTTATTTGTGGTCTGAAAATGAGTTTCATGTGTTATCTTAGCAATCAGGGTGGTAGCACATCCAACAAAATAATTATTAAAGGCATTTGCTACATCTAGGGGGTGTTGCAGTGTTTGGTTGTCCATTTTGCCAGTGGAGGGTTGGGAATGGATTGTGGGGGTTTGTATGCTATTTAGGATTTTCCAAAAGTTTCTTGGGTTTCAAATTTTCACTGAAATATTGGGCCTTTGCCATTGTTGTTTGTTTTGTGCATGCATTTCACCATTGTCTGTAGGTACAGTGATTGTTCATGGAGGCAGTAAGCTTAAACTTAGACCGCAGTGAATCTATAAACTGGTACATTTGAATAAGGTCAGCTGTAACCAAGGGCAGGTGTGTCCCTTTTAGTCTCACTTTGCACAGAGGGGCATGCAAATTCCAAACACGCAAGCTCGGACTGAAAAAAAGCTGGTATTAGACTTAATCTGTGCTATGGTATGTTCTTGAGATTGTTTAATAAGGATTCAAGATAAAAAGTTTTAAAAGACCTGGTGATTATAATGTTGGAAGGGGATTTAGATATATTAGATAGGTTGATATGCTTTCAGGCAACTTCACACAGCATATGACATGTATGAGAAAAAAAAAGACAATACTGATGATAATAAATAATAGTGCATGTGACGGACCGACGTCACTAAGTACCAAGTCCACTGCATATTTGTGTGTTTTCCCCTTGTATCGTGTGGTCCCTCTGTGTTTCCCCATGTATTTCTATGCCTTTTGTGTATTGTGCCTGTATATGCAGCAGCTCTGTAGTGTATAGAAGTGAAATGTATTGCTGTCTGTGTCTCTACCCCTTTCCCCCTCCCTTTTCCTGTCACAGCAGGACATTGCCACAGAGACACTGCCAGCCCAGTTTAACCTCCTTCGGCTTATTGGGATTAAAACCCTTGTTGTTTGTGTTGGATACCCCATGTAGGGGTCTGTGTCTGTAAAGCCATGTGTACAAAATAAACAAAGGTGTTGTAGCCTCCAGGACTGTGTTCCGTCCAGTTACTGGGGGGGAAATGGATGCCTGCTTGTTGTAAGGGTTCCTGAATGGCTGAAAGAAGGGAAATAGCAAAGGTAACCAGTCAGGTTACTCATGGTCCACTACATTTGGTGGCAAGCGGTGGGATCATACTTTCCAGCTGAAAGGAACCAGGGACCCGTTAATCGAAGACGCATTGCGCCCAGCTACACTGAAGTGGAGTTGGACCAGAGGCTGAAGATGATGCTGGCTTACTTTGGGCCCAACCCCGCCAAGAAATACGTACAGCACATGAGGAAACTAGCGGCCGAGTATCTGCAGCACCAAGCAGAATGCGGGCACAGGGAGAGAAGCGTTCCGTTCCTCCTCCCCAGCGGCAGTGAGGAGTCAAGGGAACAGAGACACCCGGTCTTGTTTCCCAGCAGCAGGTTCCAGAGACTGGAGACTTAATAGACTTCCCACAGGAGGTCCAGGGAGAGAAGTGTTCCGTTCCTCCTCCCCAGCGGCAGGGTGAGGTGCAGGGAGCGGAGACAACCAATCTCATCCCCCAGCGGGAGTGTGAGGTGCAGAGAGCGGAGACAACCGATCATGTCCTCCAGCGGCAGTGTGAGGTACAGGGAACGGAGACAGCTGGTCTCATTCTCCAGCGGCAGGGTGAGGTCCAGGGAATGGAGACAGCTGGTCTCATTCCCCAGTGGTAGGGTGAGGTCCAGGGACAGAGACAACAGGTCTTATTCCCCAGCAGAGTGAGTTCGTGGGAGTGGAGATGGTCGGTCTCTCTCCCCAGCAGCAGACTGAGATACACGGGGAGATGGAGGATTGCTTGTCCTCTCCCCAATATCCCGAGCATGGCTAGGAGGAGAGCACAGTCGGCTCTCCTCCCCAGAAGCCAGCCAAGTCCTCAGGGAGACACAGGAAGCAGAGCCGCAACGAACCCAGCAGATAACTCCCACCATCCTCGGCCAGCCGGGGAAACCAATGAGACCCAGGTGATGGAAGGGCCAGGGGGGCACACTTGTTTGGGTGGGGGAAGTTACGGACTGCGAAAACCATGGGAGGAACCTTTGTTTGGGTTGGGTTGTTATGGGCTCAGAGACCCCTGTGGACCAGAGCCTAGGATGGATGGCCTCCCGGGCTAAAGATACTTTATGTCTAAGTCATCCTGTACCCAGGAGGGTGCAGGGTACAACGCCAACCCGACCCCATAACTGTAGGGACTGGTCGGGGACAAGTACTGTAGGGGGCATGGCCCTAAAAGACTATGTGACCCATGTGAGTCATGCTGCGACTGCCGAGGGTGGACAAGGGGGAGAAGTGTAATATATAATTATATAATATTCAAACATACTGTCCTATGATTGTGTATTTAACCTTTTTTTGAGATCTATATTGGAATGCCGATACAAGTTAAAGTTATATTCCAAGTGGGAAAGCTAAGTACAATTTTTGGTTGTAAATTGCACTTGGTCACTTTTTTTGCTATATAATATTGCACATATTATTCTCACTTATTTAAATAATTAATTTTGGTCTTAAAGGCACAGTGCACTTTACTTTTGGTTTTGTATAGTTACACGTGATTGAGCTTTTTCACTGTATATAGTGCTGCTTATTACATGTATTTATTACTATCAATTGATTCAGCGCCATAACACTAATTGTGTGTTTTTTAGTAAGGGGGAGATGTGTGACTGACCGCCATCACTAAGTACCACACCCATTGCATATTTGTGTGTTTTCCCTTTGTATCGTGTGGTCCCTCTATTATTTTTACGTTTTTTTATTTATTTTAATTTACTTACTATTTGTATTTTATAATAATATATAAGTACAATATATATAGTTATATATATTATACATATATACATATATATATATATATATATATATACACGTGTGTAATTTAATTATAATTGTATTTTTATATTAATATAAAAGTACACTTAGTATGACATTATATATATGCTATATAGACATATATTATATGAATATAATATATGTCTATATAGCATATATATATATATATATATATATATATATAATATATAGAAAACGTCCCTGCACTCAAGCTGTAATATTACAAAAAAGTTGCCGGGTGCCAGCCTGGACTCAAGGGTATCCAGAAAATTTCAAAAAGTATAGCTGCACTCACGGTTGAGGAATAAAATCTTCAATGCTTTATTTGGTCATTTAAAATAAGGATCGACGTTTCATTCCAACTTGTGGACTTTCCTCAGGATCAAGACATGTCTCTCTCTCTCTCTCTCTCTCTATATATATATATATATATAAAATTATATATTTTAATTAACATAAAAAATTTTTTATTTTTTTTATTTTACGATTGCAGGGAGACTGTCTGTCAGCACAGGCAGTCCCCCTGCAGACAGACACTTGGACACCTTTTGTGGCGGGGAGACTGCCTGACACACCGGGAGCAACGCCGATCGCTGCCGGGGGAACGACGGCGATCGGGTAAGTACATCACACCGTTTTGATGGTACAGGACTGTCACTGTTCCTCAAGGGGATTTTTCCGATGATGGTCCTGAACCGTCAGCGGTCGTGAAGGGGTTAAATATTAGTTTCATAATATATCACACTTTTTCATCATGTATATATATATATATATATATATATATATATATATAAAGTTCTTGAATTACTTGAATAAATTCAAATCCAATTTCAGTTTATTCAAGTGATTCCATCATAAAGCAAAAAAATTTACGTTTCAGGGGAACTTTCATCTGGACGGCGACTTTTTTGCTTTATGATAGAATTACTTGGATTTGAAGACCTAGAATGCTGGTATGGATTTATAAATCTTTTTGTATATACTTTGCATAACTGAGCACCAGACACTTTAATCTGCATCAGGTGTACTTGAGACAAAACCTGTTTTGCATATTTGTGCTGTTGTGAGGGATTCTATCCAAGGGGTTAAATTATTTTGAGACTGGAGAATTCATTATAAGTTGCATTTTAGTTTGAATAATTTTGATTACAACTGTATGTATATATATATACATTATTTCAAAGTCAAGCTTTCAATAGTTTTCCTCTCTTTCCCAGGTCTGAAGCAATATTGATCAATCTGATAGAGATTAACACTTAAAACAACTGATTTTAGAGAAGGGGAGGGAGGGGGTGGTGAGTGGGTAGTCATAAATAGCAGAAGATGTGCCTGAAAGTGAAAGGTGCAGATTGGTTGAGAATAGCCAGAAAAAAAAGTAAATAAACAGAAAAAAGTAAATAAGCTAGTTAAAAAAAAAAAAAAAAAAGAAAAAAACAAACTCCAATAAAACCATAGCAGAGCAGGGCATGCACATATATAGCTTCATTTGTGTGTGTCTATATATATATATATATATATATATATATATATCACTGCAATCTGTCAATATGGGGATGAAGGAGGGAATGCACCATCTTGCTCTTTAATGCAATTTTATTGGCACATTCATCAAGTCATATGGGAAATAAAACTGTACACCAATATTTAATATGTCAAATGAATACATCTTTATACGTTCTACAGTGATTCCCAATCATCCCCCTCATCGTCTGATGAAGAGTCTATGACTGAAGAAGAAATGGTAGTACTGCTGGAAAAAGTAGAGGAAAAGAAAAAGCTGATAGCCACTATTAGGAATAAGCCATGGCGAATGAAGAAAAAGCTTTCTGTACTAAGGTAATAGAGATGGAATGGTTTTGTGAGTAGACATTTGTATCACAATATGTGACACATTTTTACAGGAACTCTAAGCAAAACCACGTCATGTTATGCAGTTTTAATGCATAGGCCCGTAAAACAGTGCTGTTTTAGAGAAATGGTAATGTTTATTTTTTTCTAAAATACATCTCTAGTGGTTATCTGAAAAACAGCCAGTCTCTGTAACAAAGTGAAATAAAGATGCAAAGGGAAAAGTGAAAGTACAATTTAAAAAAATCTAAGTAAAATCTATACTTTTGCATATTTACTAAAAGGCAAATTATATTTAATGACTTATTTCAAGACTGTTGGGTTATTCACTAAGTTTACATCTGTATAACATTAACCCCTTAAGGATGGCAGACGGGCTATGCCGTCCTTAAAGGGGTGGACCTAAATGCCGGAGGACTTAACTTTTCAAAATAAAACCTGTACATGGGGAGGGGTATTGTTATACCTGTTTCAAAACAGTAAAACTTATCACAATGATGATATCACCAGTAAAAGTGCAGTTTTTGTGTAAAAAAAAAACTAAATTTCTTAATTTCTCACACATTTTTTACATTTTATTCATATTAAATTTAATTCATATATATATTTAATCTGAAATGAAAGCCCTGATTCTCCTGAACAAAATGATATATAAGTGTGGGTGCACTTAATATGAAAGAGGTGAGTTATGATTGAACCACATATAGTGCAAATTCTAAGTTTTGTTTATGTTTTGTTTTGATCACAACAATTTGGTGCATCCTTGAGGGAATAAAATGTAAATGGCAAAATTAAAGCAAAAATCTGTTAAAAAACTAACTTGGTTATTTTAGACTAAATGTCACCATTCAGATTTCAGTTGGCTACATTTCAGAGTTTAATAAATAACCCTGCACATACCATTAATGTTCCTCTCAAACATAGAATACTTTACGGGAAATAGAAGACAATCTGTGGATAGGTTTGGTAATTAGATACCTGACAAGCAAGGGAGCTTCTTTTTCAGGTATCTAGATTCTCATCTGGTTTACTGTTTTAATTAAAGGCATTTAAGAATGTAATCCTGCTATCATGGTTACACGGAGTTGTAAAATCTCAATGAGTCTACTGTGACATTGACACAAAGACGTGAAATACTGTTGAATATTCAGCTACTGTATCTGTTATATTAAATCATGACGTTCTGTGATTGTGCTTGTTTAACAATGTTCTAAAGTTGAAATGGAAGCTGGAGGTAAAACCAATTTTAAAGAAGCTGCACTTTCATGTATCTAGATACAGATCAGGTATTAACCCCTTAAGGACCAAACTTCTGGAATAAAAGGGAATCATTACATGTCACATATGTCATGTGTCCTTAAGGGGTTAAGAAATCCTAATTTGAATAATTAGCTATTGTTGTATATGAACTATTAAATGGTGAAACCATGTGATTAAGCTTCTATACGGAAAACTAGAGTTAATACATACATATAAAAGCTGATGTTATATTAATAATAACTCGATCATGAATAGGAGGTTTGTGGAGCCCCATAATCCAGCTAACTTCACGCATGGTATATGATATTTTAAAGTAGGGGTGCTTAAAAGGTAGATCTGCAGATGTTTTAAAACTACAACTTCCGTGATGCTTTGTCACTCTAAAGCAGTCTAAATTTTTATTTATTTATTTTTAAAATCTATTTACAGTGGTTTGACAAAAACTGGGGCTCTTCTGGCATCCAAATCCCAGACCCTTTACAATGGAAAATGTCAAGTGAAAGTTTAATTCCCAGATTAATCGTGAAAATTGGTAAACCTCTAAAAGCAATTACAGGCAGTGAGCACTACTTAGTAGAAGGATCCCTTTAAAGACATTTAATTAGAGCAGGTAACATGATCTATATAACAAAATAAAAGCTTCATTACTATTGGCTTTACTGGCAGTTTACATTTCACCTCCCTTTAGGAGTGATGCTGAATGAACAGAACCATATTATGGAACACACACAACTTACCACATAGTTGCCACCCCTACATGTGGGTAGTGGCACACCCTATCTATTTGACTTTGTATCATCATATGATGACCGTCTGGTTATAGGGACGGAAATGTGGAATTTCTAGTGATAATAGATATATTTTTGAAATGTTATGAAACCTTTCAGTTACTTGTCTTAATTCAAAAAATAATATTTATATTATAGCTTGGCAATTCTATTCAATGCTCCATTCAATTAGTGTCCAACCTATATATTCTGATAAAATTCCTATTTTAATCTCAGTGAAATAAATGTCGCTGTCAGTGTGTTTAAACCAATCCAAATAGTTTTTTATACACAGTAATTTCAATTTAAAAAAAATGTGTTTTTAATGTACTAGGGAGGCTCAGAAGTTTGTGGAGAAATTTGAAGGTGCATTGGGAAAAGGAAAGGGAAAGAAATTCTATGCATATAAAGTTATGATGTTGAAGGTAAGACATTCATTGTTTTTCTTTCACAATTTCTTTCCTCTTTTCTTGCTTATTTTCCCAAAGGAGGCTCAATATCCCTAAGATTACTAGTTTCTCACATACTTGTTGATAAACCTGACATTTATATTTTTATTTAATTAAGATTGTTGATTCTGCACATTCTGTCCATTCTACCCTAGGCTAGAATCTACATTGTAACTGACAGTTTTCTACTGTTATTGTGTCTCTAAATATATTAAAGCACAAAATAAAAATTCTAATAAAAAATATAATACAGCATGTTAGACAGAGACTAGTTAACAGAAACAACTTTAGATTCCATAGGCTAACATGCCGCATACACAGCAGTGCCTCCATCATAAAGTTAAATTTGAACTCCAAAGTTAACATTTTTCTAATATTACTGTTCTAAAATGAATTTTGAATGACTGCATTTGAATATTTATAAAATGCTTCACATGCATGGCTACAAGACTTGAAACACCTGAATTAGACCAACCTACAAAAGGATCCAACAATATTAATTTTGATCTGTCACTTCACAGGATGTTTAATAATATGTTTACTTATCTCCTACATTTAACAAGTATGTATATTTTATGTAATACTGATATTTCCAGAGAAATTACAGTTCCCCTTTAATGCTCATCTCTGACCTAAATCCTCATTTTGTTTGAAACTTAAAATCTTCAATACAAACTTGATAAATCAGGGGGAAATGTAAGACTCATAAGCCAATTGTAAACTGCCAAATAGAAATGTCAGCAGAACGGCATATAAACAGATTTACTGTTATCCGTTTTCAAGAAGTTGCTCATAATATTAGTATTTTGAACCCTGAATATTGAACTATATCTCAATCTGTGTTGCTGGTCCACAAACTATGTAATATATATGAGTTTTAGTCTAATAACAGCAAGATAATGAAATTTGACACCTGGTGTAGGCTTTTTCCATATGCTAATCACAGAGTGATATAATTTCCAACACCAAAATAACTGTTATTATAAAAAAACACTAGTCTAATTGAATATGAGGACGTAGCATGGTGTAAACCTTCATTTTGGTAATCATGCTATGTAAGGGTAATTTTTATTTTTATTTTAAAACTTTAAATGAATTTAAAACTCAGCAGTACTTTTCTAAATGAAAGAAACAATAAAGGAATACTATAGGGTCAGGAACAGAAACATGTATTCTTTATCCTATATTGTTAAAAACACCATCTGTTACCCCCTTCTCCTCCCACTTTCCCCTAAATATAGTAAAATATTTCCTTGATTCCAGTCTGCTGCTGCTGACTCTACCCATGATCTGCCTGCTTGGCTGACATCGTCAGAAGTAGTGATCAAAACCAATCACAATGCTTTCCCTAGGAACACATTGGATTGGCTGAGACTGTCAAGGAGGTAGATAAGGGGCAAAACCAGCACAAGCCAAACACTGCCCTGGTCAATCAGCATCTGCTCATAGAGATGCAATGAACCAATGCATCTTTATGAGGAAAGTTAAGTGTCTCCATGCAGAGAGTAGAGATGTTGAATGTGCAGCATTGCCCCAGGAAGCACTTCTAGCAGCCAGCTAAAGGGGTAGCCAGTGGCAGTATCCCTAGGCTGTAATGTAAATACTGCCCTTTTCTCTGAACAAACTGTATTTACTGCAAAATGCCTGAGAGGAATGATTATACTCACCAGAACAAAATTATTTTTTTCTAGAATAAAAAAAAAAAAAAAAGAAGCATAAATAACTGTTTTAAAATTGTGATGATTGCTATGTACCAAATGTGTAAAGCATAACCATGGTTTTAAAATGTGACACATGCTTGGCTAATGATATAACATTGTAAGAATAATAGCTAGTGTATAACTGGATAAAATATGCTCTCCATTCTGAAAATGAAGCTCATCCTGAAGTTAATGACATACACTTATGTGTAGATGAAAAAAATGCTTCTTTCTAGTCTGTTATCCAAAAGACCATTGCCATTGTGTAGAGAGCAAACTTCTGCAATATAATTATTTTAAAATAGCCTACTTTGAAGCGTAAAACTAGAGGTCATTGTCACCTTGCAGGAACAAATTGGTAGACTTGTAATTTGTAAAATAGCTGTGATATAACTAGGCACATTATCTACAAGCAGCAGAATTCTTACCGATAACTTCTAAACATGTAGGAATTTTTGTTATTTTTTTTTTTATATCTTTTGTTGCATTTTCTTTTTGAGAAATCTGCTACTAAGACAAAAATAATATAGCATATGAAAATAACTTGAGTGTGCAAAAGGAAAAAAAATGCAGAAAAAAAAATAATATGTACCATTATAAGAATTCTACTGGAGATTAGTTATGTGAATACACGTGTTAGAAGAGAAGTGCCCCATCTAAGACTATCAAACATTATAATATAATGTTCTTATATTGCATTGCATTCTTTTCACTGTGCCCTTTGGAATACACTCTCTGTCTGTAAAACTATGATATCTATTATTATTATGATGTTTATAGAGTGCTGTCAAATTCCGCAGTGCTTTACAATGGGTGGACGAACAGACATGTAGTTGTAACCAGACACGTTGGACACACAGGAACAGAGGGGTTGAGGGCCCTGCTCAATGAGCTTACATGCTAGAGGGAGTGGGGTAAAATGACACAAAAAGGTAAGGATAGTATTAGACTAATGACAGTTGCAGAAGAGGAATCAGTCAGGAGCTATTAACAGTTTAATTGATACGCTTTTATGAAGAAGTGGTTTTTTAACACTGAAGGAGTGGAGACTGGGTGAGCATCTAACGGAGGAGGGAAGCGAGTTCCACAGGAACAGTGCAGCCTTCGAGAAATCTTGAAGGCAAGCATCAGAGGTGGGAGTACGGACAGAAGATAGACGTAAGTCTTCAGCAGATCGTAAGGGCCTAGACGGGCCATACTTGTGTATAAGGGAGGATATATAGGTGGGAGCAGCATTATGTAGAGATTTGAAAGCAAGAACCAGAATTTTAAATTGAGCTTTATATTTTATAGGAAGCCAATGTAGGGATTGACAGAAGGGTGAGGCAGGGGAGGTGCGAGCGGACAGGAAGATGAGCCTTGCCGTCGCATTCATTATGGACTGTAACGGCGCTAGCTGGGAGCACGTAAGACCACTGAGAAGCAGATTACAGTAGTCAAGGCGAGAAAGGACAGTGGAATGGACCAACACCATAGTCGCATCTGGCGTTAAGTAGGCCAGATGCGTTAATATCTGGCGTTCATATCTACTGTCATTCTTGATCGCCTCTTAAGCCTCTTGACACAGACTAAAATCTGTCTCTCTCCCTCTTACACTGCTACCACTGCCTGCCTATCCTATGATAGATTGCACATATCACACACTCCCAGACCATGCGATGGAGTGGGGTTTTTTCTCTCCTCTCCTTCCAACCTTTGCCAACTACAACTACAATTAATTAATTAGGATACACATTTAATTAAACAATTAAAGTGAGTTAAATATTTATTTTATTTTCAGAAATGGATAAAGTTTAAAAGAGATTTTGAAAATTTCAAAACAGCATGTATACCATGGGAAATGAAGATTAAAGAAGTGGAAAGTATGTGGAATTCCGAAATCATATCTGTTGTTTGTCTGTATAGGAAACTCAATATATGTAACATGTCAGTCTGAACACATTGTTCTTATGCTATTTGGGCTTTTTTTTAATAAACAAAAAGTGACATTGTGCTTAAAATATATTTAATTGCCCAGGAGTTATGTTCTTGAGGGCAGTCTGGGCATGAATAGATTCAGGGTGCAACTACTTTTGAGGCATCATATTGGCAAATCTCTGACCTATTCTTTGTTGGAAAAAAATCCAGTGACTCAACCACACTCAACCACAAATTAACAGATAGTAGAGATCTTGGTGCTCTCCCGACTACAATTGGTATTCTATAGCACTCACACTTTTTATAAACCCCCATACCACAGCCCATTGGAAGAGGGAACCTGTAAGAGCACATTCATAGACCAAACCATACATCATTGTAACACTTACATTGTCATCCATGTTTTGAGGAAGAATAAGAGATCATTTGTAAACGTCCTATTTTGTTGTCCATGAAAATCCAGGAGACCCTTTTGTAATATTTTAGTTTTTTTGCCCAACCGAAGCACAGTGGTGTGTGGCATATGTGTCACGACTACCATTGTGGTCCAACACGCAAAACTATGTAACATCTGCATAGACTGTAGAAGATAGACTGAATGTAAACCGGTCCTTAGAATGGCCAGGTTAATATGTTGAAAGACAGAGAATGGTCAAGGGAAAGCCGAGGTAAAGGAAGCCAGAAATAAATGAGATCGATAAGGAAAGCCAAGTCAGGGAAACCAGAGATAAAAGTAGTCAGGAATAGCTAAAGTCAAAATATCGGGAAGATCAAATAACAAGAACAAGGAAAATGCACTCTCGGGAACTAGGAACTGAAACCACGACAGGGCCATGGACTAGGGAACCTTAGGGGTTTAAATACCCCTCCTTGTGCTGTGATTGGTCAGAGCTTGGCCTCTGACCCCAGAATGTGTGTGTGCATCGACGTTATGTCCCTAGGAGGCGGAGCTACAAATGGCCGCGACCTTGTGCGCCATTTTGTTTGCTGCTTGTGGATGGGACGGACGCCCCAGCAAGACGGCTCCTGGCTCACTGCTGAACAAGTAAGTTCACTAACCTGTCAGCATAGTCGCTACTATAATAGGTTGAAGTAATTGCAGTGCTTAGAGTGTCCCTTTAATATAGTTGTAATGGAAAGTCAGCTATTTTTGTAAAAGTACAAATCCAACAAAATCTGCCAGTGTGAAAGAGGTGCAAAATGTAAATGAATATCGGACTTGAAGATTTATTTGTCCACAAGATGATCATGTCATACAGCACTAAGCAATTTGTTTGCAAAATCAGTGCAACTCAATCTTTATATTTTAAACACAAATTTGGTACATTGCCATTAAATCGAACTTAGAAAAAAATCCTAAAATATAAGTTGAAAACATAGAAAAAGCAGATTTGGTTTCTCATGCATTCTCAGTGCATACAATTCAAATTAATAAAATGACCCAAGTGAAGCCTGACTCATTTTAATTGCTGCTTCTGAGTTATTGAAACGTTTAAAAATGCAGGTCACGTACTAATAGCAGTTTGCATAAAAATTATGAATTAATTATAATTAGAAGATATGGTAAACAATTGTGTATAAAAAATATGTAAAATGCATACTGTGTTACACTGTTTAAAGTATCTTTATTCAAATCCCTTCAATTTATATTCTAATAGTATATTCTCTCAATGCAGACTATAATTTTATTCTCAAACCTAATAAAAGAATGGCTTGCTATGTATTTGTATTACATAAATCTTTAATAGGATAGCAGCATGATATGTGGGGTTATACACTAAATAGAGACTTTAAATTGAATTCAAAGTGAATTTCAAATTTAGGATAAAAATATCCAACCTGGAAACATTCTCAGCTATGCTTCCAATTTGGCTATTTTGGCCTTACATTTAAATTCACTTTGAATTCTCACATTTTGAATAACTCTGCCAGTGTTGTTGAGATGTTTTAAAATCAACAAATATTTGAAATATACAATAAAATTCTAAGCTAAATTCTGTAAAATTATCTTTACCTGCATAGGTTTTGTACATAGAAAAAAAATCAAAATTGAGTGGCAATCCCAGTCTCTAGTTAAATTACAATAAAATTGTTCAAATACAATTACAATTATTTATATAGCGCCAATATATAGCATCAACATATTCCATAACGTTGTTCAATAGTTAAACAAGACAAACATTGAATTCTAGAGAAACATGTATGACATACAGGTAGTAGGTGAAGAGGTCCCTTCCCAAATGAGCTTACAATCTAAACACATAAAAGACATTGCCTTATTAAATCTGTAGACAACACATATTGCATGTCACAAATCAAACAATGACTGCTGGTACCAAGCAAATAAATGTCTTGGAACCCCCAGGGATTCCTGACCTGGAGAACAGGAACGTCAGCATATATTATACAGGTCCAGTTAAACAGACTCTGACAGGGTTATTCACTAAAGTCCGAATGGCCCCATACCGAACTTGGCAAAACCATTCAGCTGCATACAGCACCATGTGAACTGAAAAACCTGGTCACTGATCATGCTGTTTCACAATGTCCAGATTTTACAATTCAGGTTCCAAATGTATCAGCTTGTCTGAATGCTGCAGGATGGCTGAAAGCCATACCCGAACGATTTAAAGTCAGGCCTAAATGCACCAAATCTGTGCCCAAATTTTCAAAATCTGAACTAGTTGCCCACTTCATCGCTAGCAGACAGCGGGCAAATAGTTAAAAAAACCAAAAACTTAGCAATGCAAGGGTTAATTACGTGGCCGCAAGCCAGCTTTTCCTATCCATCCACCACATTAAAGTAAAGATAAATAAATAAAACCTACCCAGTAGTTGCGGGTGGGGGCTCTCATAATAATATACAATGGGAGGTCAAACCCCTAGCCGCTTCCTCTTCAAAGAAATGAATCCTACCTACCCCCATCACCCAAATATTAGTAAAATCTAGCCATTAAAACTATCTAAAAAATAAATAAATAATACTTACCATCTGAAGTCTTCTTTTATGAAAATTGTGTCTTTGGCCCTCAGATACCATATTCTTGCAAATGTTCCCAATGGCAAGTATCGAGGGAAGTGAGACTTACCTATCAGAGCACTATGTTTGGTTGGCACTCTAGTTCAGAGCGCTCTTATAAGAATTCAAAGTGTGCATTGTGCATCCCACTGTCTCCTGTCTTCCAGGGTGAATCTCCTCTTAAACCCTCTTAGAATACATCTGTCGTGCAGCTTTATAAACTCTAATTGTTATTTTTTTCTTTTTGCATTTTGGCAGTGCACTATAAGGACAACACCAAGCATTTAAGTGTTGAGATTAGTTTCATATGTGCAGTCAATAGAAATTGCTTATTTAGTCTTATTGGATGACCTTGTAAGTGCCTGCTTTTATATGTTCTTTCTATATCTCTTTCAAAATCAGATTTCTTCTCTCCAGTATTCTTTATGTATTTAGATATATTTAGATGTGGGCTGACAGGTCTATTCTTTTTTTACTACAATTTGTATATTGTATCATACATTTTTTTAATAGAAAATATTAATACATTATTCATTTTTAAAAAAAATACTTAGCTTATTAATAAATTGGAAAATTGTGCTTTTCACTTTACCAGGTCATTTTGGTTCATCGGTTGCCTCCTACTTTATATTTCTGAGGTGGATGTACGGCGTGAATCTGGTATTGTTTGGTTTAATATTTGGACTTGTGGTCATACCAGAGGTGAGTTATTATTTCAAGGTCACTTAATACTAAAGCACATTATCAGGAGTGCTATATGAATTCAAGTCAATCTGTCACGTATCTTCCTGCTATGTCATGAGTGGGAAGGATGATATATACCTCAGTCTATGATTGCATAAAATTGTAGACTCCTACATAGATCTTTTCACACACATGCATAAGATGACATGGGCCATGGATGATATAGTTTACTCGCCACAGCTGATGGGAAAAATTCCTTTTGCCATGCCTTACCATACATAATCACATACAATAGTAAAAGCTGTCCATACTATTAAGTTGGTCATTAAAATAGTGTATATGCGCCTTACTAGTATATCCATAGAAGAATGCTTATGTACATTTATGGCATGACTTTAATGTTTTAGCACAATACACAGTAAGCTTCAGTAACAAAGTTATGAATATGATCAGGAAACAGTGAACTAAAATAAAAAAATATTGTTATTCTACCACCAGGGTATCAGGTATCTGGCACAACTTGAAACCTTTCTAAATCCTTCAATATGAGAACATATCACTATCAGATAATTTGACAGAACAGCTACTTATTCACGTTCACAAGCTAATGCTAAATGTTTTCTGTTCACCCTACTTTTTATTGAATAAACAAATAGGTTCATACCCATTTTATTTAGGACCACCACCTGCCACCGAAGTGGGGAGGCTGGGGGGACATTATGTCCCCCAATAATTTGTTTTTAAAGCTAGGTCCCTTCCCTTTAGTTTAATAGCCCCCACTAGCAGGGCATGGGTGGGAGCATGGGAGGACACTATGTCCCCCCAGTTAATTATTTTATTAGGTGCCCCACTATGCCAGGTCCCCTTTACTGGATTAGCAATAGCTGTCCATTCGATTGACTTTTTTTTATAACAACTGGCTGATTGCTGTTTAGTAGATATGGCCCTATGGGGAATTTTGGAAGCTCTATTTTAAAATATTACATGTAGGGAACTGTGAGCCAGAAGCTCCCTCCTTGTAACTAAAACAAATTAATAAATGAACGAATTGCACAAATGGAATTTCATCCAATGAGCTATTAGTTTTTTGTTTCATTCATTGTAATTTGTATTTGTTCATTTGTCTTTTGGATGAATGGATGAATAGCCCAAGTCTACTATCAGTAGAAATGATGCACAAAGAGAAGGAGGATAGGACAGAGAGGTAGGCATTGTGAAATAATTTTCTTTGACAAAGTAAGTTGAGTTTGATTAAAGGATCACTAGTGTCAGGAAAACAAACCCTTTTTCCTGAAACTATGTCATCCTTGGGATACCCTCACCCTCAGGCTTGAAATCCATCCAATCACAGTGCTCTGTGTCATTTTACACAGCGTGGGAAAATTCCAAAGAACTTTCCCATGCTGTGTAAAATGACACAGAGCACTGTGATTGGATGGCTTGAAATCCATCCAATCACAGTGCTCTGTGTCATTTTACACAGCATGGGAAAATTCCAATGGTCTGCTTAATTAGAGAGCCACCTCTTGAGGTGGCCATTTTTAAAATGATTTAGGGCAGCCTGGAGGGCAATTGCCTCTCTGCCCCTGTCCCAGCCTGCTCATGGTAATAGTGCTTATGGATCTTAGAGTGCTCCCTAAGACATTTACATCATTGATATATTAAAAGTAACTTTGTTTTCTCTTCTTCCATGAACACTGACTCAGATTTTAATGGGTCTCCCTTATGGAAGCTTACCACGGAAAACAGTTCCTAGAAGTGAAGAAAAAACAGCTATGGATTTCTCTGTACTTTGGGATTTTGAGGTAAAAGTCTTTCCTATTTTTATTTTTTTGTTTTCATTTTAAGAACTTTATACAAAAATAATTGTGGGGTTCATACATTACCACACAGTGAACAAGATAAATAAGACAATCTAAAAAATATATTCAAAAATATTAAAATGGATCTTGATTCTTGGATAGGACACTGGTGTTAAGATAGAGGGGATATGATAGAAACATTTAAATATATAAAGGGAATCAACACAGTAAAGGAGGAGACTATATTTAAAAGAAGAAAAACTACCACAACAAGAGGACATAGTCTTAAATTAGAGGGACAAAGGTTCAAAAATAATATCAGGAAGTATTACTTTACTGAGAGGGTAGTGGATGCATGGAATAGCCTTCCAGCTGAAGTGGTAGAGGTTAACACAGTAAAGGAGTTTAAGCATGCGTGGGATAGGCATAAGGCTATCCTAACTATAAGATAAGGCTAGGGACTAATGAAAGTATTTAGAAAATTGGGCAGACTAGATGGGCCGAATGGTTCTTATCTGCCGTCACATTCTATGTTTCTATGTTTCTATAGAGTGCAGAGAGCAGATGTAAATTGAAAATGTTCAAATAGGACAAAAGTGGTAGATGAAGTGCTTCAAGGTTCTGCCCTGGGTTCACTGCTACTTTATCTTTTTGTAAATGATCTTGAAGAGAGCATTGAAAGTTATTTTTGGGTGTTTGCAAATGACACAAAACTATGTAAGATAATACAGTCTGAACATTACATTATTTCTCTACCAAGGGAGTTAGATAAATTGACTGGACAGGCAAGTGGCAAAGTAGTAAGTGGCAAATTTGTGTTGTGATGTACAAAATACATGATATTTGGCCTTGTGGCAAACCACTGCCATTTTCCCCTGTACTGTATTATGTTGCTAAGTGTAGTATTTTAGTGATAGTTATTGTGTACAGAGAGTGAATTTGGTCTGATATGCAGATTTAAAAAAAAAATCTCTTGTGTGTGGTAATATCTGAAAATTTACTTTGATGAGGAGGAAATAGATAACAGTTACAGAAGCAGTGGTCATGTAATTCACATAATGCCATCTCAAATGTGCGGTTCATGCAAGACGACCAAAGACTTTGCATGACCTGGACGCATTTTGCCAAGATGAATGGGCAACTATACCACCTTCAAGAATTATGGACCTCATAGACAACTATTAAAAAAGACTGCATGCTGTGATTGATGCTACAGGGGGCACTACACAGTATTAAGAACTAAGGGTATGCAGACTTTGGAACTGGGTAATTTCACTTGTTTCTTTATTGTAAAAGGAATTTGATTAGTTTGTACCAGTTGAGAAACATTTGTTCACAAATCTAGTAGGGATACGTAAGCATACACACATACAGACTGAAGAGTAATGCTCAGTAATGCTCCAGCAAAGTAAAGGCAGTGTTGATTTGTTTGCTACAGCCCTGGAGTTAGGAAATTTAGGGTTACGAGTGAGTTTGAATGTGGAGGTTAATGGGGTAACTTGGGGTTACAGTTAGGGTTAAAATAACATCTGAGGTCAATTTTAGCATTACATTTGGAGTTATGTTAAAATAAAATATGGGGTTTACTCACAACTCTTGGCAACCATAGCTTTATTTACCTTGCAGGTCCTCTTCAAGCATCTGAGTAAGTATGTTTTTTTTTTTCTTTCTAAAGGTAGCATACGTCTACGGGTTACCGATGTTTGTATGACACTTGCAACAAAATGGCATCTCTAGCAATGCGACTATGTAATTCCTTTAATTAAAACATATGGGGTTTATTTATTTATTTATTTTTTTTTTTTAATACATTCAACTGTCTGTTTTATTTATTTATTTATTTATTTATTTATTTATTTTATTTGCATTTTATAGAATTCACAGTCTTATTACAGGTATACAGGGTATGCGGGTTACAGTCACATTACAACGGAGAGAGTACAATATAGTGCGCAGCATGCTTTGTCAAAGTAACAACTTAACTATACAGTAATGATACTTGTGTTGAACATTCATGTAGTAGTGACATTAGAGTTGCACCTTTAAAACAAATAGACAAATAGACAACTCATTCTGACATTGCTATTGTACCCATGTTTGTGTTGCTCTCTTTCTTGTCCAATGGGCGTGATAGTGAGAGTTGTCTTTCCATTCCGCCAGTCTTGGTAAGTGCTTAACTGTGAAGCAACCCCCATCTCCCTGATGCTCAACTACTTTTCCGGTGAAAGAATTTTTTTTTTTTTCGAACATATGGGGTTTATTTAATAAAGTTATGCTGAGTTTACAAACAGCCTGCAAAATGTAAGCCAAAATAGATAAGCTGAAAGATATCAGGAATTTTGGCTTAAATGTTGCAAATCAGAGTTCACAGTTTAGTGAATATACAACTTTATACAGTAAGCATCAAACAGGCCTTCTTTGTTTCGATTTGGTGACTGATTATTATTTTCTCTTGGAAGTGGAAGTGGAAGTGGAACTGTCACTGTCTGGGGACTTTGCATAATTTGCAAAGAACCCAACAGTGTCATCGTCGCTGGAGGTCCAGCAATGGTGAGTTTTACTTTCAGTGAAATTCTAACACAGACAATAAGAGTATTTCATTAAGAAAAAAAATTATAGAATAATCATTTTGCAGGGGGAGATGACAGTGCCACTTCAAAATTTTGTATTTGAACACAGGGAATATGCTTAATTCGTTGGTCATAACATATGATACAAATCTACTGGTATGCTAGCTGTGATTTACTTTTTTTTCCAACATATAATTATAAATGTAACCTTTGTCATGTTTTACATTTTACATTTTACATTTTAGGGATATGCCAAATATTCGGTTCTGTTTTATGGCTTCTACAACAACCAACGCACAATCGGCTGGTTAAAATTTAGGTTGCCATTATCTTATTTCATGGTCGGAGTCGGTGTCTTTGGATACAGCCTAATGGTTGTTATTAGAACGTGAGTAACAGGAAATATCTTAGAACATAAGAAAATAAATAAATAGAAATTAAATGAAAATAGTAGTCTTAATGTGTAGATGTTTTAATTTACCTGCTTATATATCAGGGCTAATTGTTCATGTTTATCCAGTTGGAACATTGCGGGATTCGGGTCTTCATGGGCCTAGAGGTTGTATTGTCAATAGGCCCACTAAAAAAAAAGTCGAATTAGCATTTTAATGTCACAATATATATTATGAACTACATATAAGTCATATGGCAAATCTCCTACTGGTTCACTTCACTACACAATTGCAATGTCACATTTAAAGGCTGACACACAACAAAAAACAGCTAACATGCACAATTCAAGGTCAGTCCATTCCAAAGTGATCTTTGAATTTTCCTGTTTCTTTCTGTTTGTTTTTTAGTGATTTCCTCTATGCATTCACTGGGTTTTTTTTTATTTATACTTGGTTTAATCATGGTTGCCACACACAGTGCTCCAACATTCAGTGTATCGACTCTCTGCATGGAGACACTCAACTTTCCTCATAGAGATGCACTGATTGAATGCATTTTTTATAAGGAGATGCTGTTTGGCCAGAGATGTGTTTGGCTTGTGCTGACACTGCCCCTGATCTGCCTCCTTGACAATATCATCCAATCCAATCATTTCCTGTGGGAAAGCATGGTGATTTGGTGAGATCACCACATCTGATGAATGCAGGGGCAGAGCCAGCACCAGCAGACTAGAATAAAGGTAAGATTTTACTGTATTAAGCGTGGTAAGGGGGTTACTTGGGGGTAAAGGTGGTAAGGGGAGGATAAATAGTGAATTTAAAACTACAGGGTCAGGAATACTATAGTGTTCCTTTAATTTCGGGTTCATTATCTCTGATGGGGGTCAAGATAGGAACTTGACATTTTTTAAATTATACGTCCTCTATAGTAGGGTTTGAGTTGGAGATTCCACTGGTTCAAAGCTAAGGCTAGTAGAATTTTGGGGACAAACAAATTGTATTTATATGTTTTGAGAGAGAAACAGGTATAATATAAGCATAACAAATGCTAAAAATTAAAAGTATTTAACAGGAATTATGTTTATAGAAACAAACATAGAAACATAGAATGTAACAGCAGATAAGAACCATTAGGCCTATCTAGTCTGCCCAATTTTCTAAATACTTTCATTAGTCCCTGACCTTATCTCATAGCTAGGATAGCTTTATTCCTATCCCACGCATGCTTAAACTCCTTCACTGTGTTAACCTCTACCACTTAAGCTGGAATGCTATTTCATACATCCATCCACTACGCTCTCAGTAAAGTAATACTTCCTGATTTAATGTTTAAACATTTGCCCCCCTGGTTTATGTCCTCTTGTTGTGGTAGTTTTTCTTCTTTTATATATAGTGGCCTCCTTTACAGTGTTGATTCCCTTTGTGTATTTAAATATTTCTATCATATCCCCCCTGTCTCGTCTTTCCTGAAAGCTTTATATGTTAAGATCCCTTAACCTTTCCTTGTAAGTTTTATTCTGTAATCCATTAATCTATTCTGTAAGCCCTTCTCTGAACACTCTGTAAAGTTTAAATATCCTTCTGGCAAAACGTTCTCCAGTACTGTGTACAATACTCCAAGTGAGGGCTCACCAGTGTTCTGTACAATGGCATGAGCACTAGCCTCTTGCTAGTGCTAATACCTATCCCTATACAACCAAGCATTCTGCTAGCATTCCACGCTGCTCTATTACATTGCCTTCCTACCTTTAGGTCATCTGAAATAATTACCCCTAAATTCCTTTCCTCAAATATTATATACTCTGCCCTTGGGTTTTTATGTCCAAGATGCATTATCCTGCACTTATCCATATTAAAAGTCAGTTGCCACAGCTCTGACCATTTTTCTAGTTTACCTAAATAATTTGCCATGTGGCTTATCCCTCCTGGAACATCAACCCTGTTACATATATTTGTATCAGCAGCAAAAGACATACCTTACCATCAAAACCTTCTGCAATATCACTAATAAAATATTAAAGAGAACTGGTACACCACAATTTAAAACCACAGGTTTGATCAGAAGCTGTGAGATTTCCACAACTTTTCAGAGAGACTGAGTGAGGAAGAGTCCAATGGCAGTAGTCAATTTAGCAGGTGTCTGTTTTGTGAGAACATTGTTCATAGAAACTCACGCTTTGTCCCGAGTAGATATCATGAATGATGTTCTTTGTCTATGTGGGTGGAAGGATTTTACAAAAACATCAGTTTTCCTCGCTGTTGTCCTCAACCAAGTCTATCTGGCCATGGTCATCACAGACACTAACCACCTGATAGTACTCTCTGACTCTACCTCAAAATGGTAAAGCCCAGAATTCTCTCGCTCTTCATCACTTTTGACATCAATCTTCTTGCTTCAAGGTTGCATCAAGGGTGAGGAATTGACCCTCTGTGGTCCTTTTTTCCATTTGTGGTTTTCTGCTTAGTTCTTACTCCAATCCTGTAAAATGCATCTTTGCCATTGAATAGTGTGAAGAAGTTCCAGCCAGGCTCGCTAATCTGAATTCGCATATTTGGTGTCTGTCATCAGCATGCACAGCATGCTGGTGACATATTACCAATGGCATCACCCCTTCTGTGCCAACCAAGTCCTCCACTGTACTCATTCTTTGGAACATCCCTCTCCCTGCAGTCACAGGAGGAGGATCTGGCTGATTTTATTAATTAATTAATTTATTTTTTAAGAGGTGTGGTTGTCACCAAAGGTTGAAGGACATACAAAATGTACTGCAAATGTTTCAGAGTTTGACCCTTCATTAGTGCAAATTAATCACTTTTGTGATTTAGTGCTGCTCTAATTTTTTTCTTGTATTAAAAAAAAAATACATACGTAGTGGCCACATTGTCCCTAACTAATCTGATTGAGTTGGAGGTACAGATTAGAGGCAAGAAAGCTGATATACCATCAGAACAAAATGCAGGGACAACAGTGACGGAATTTACACTCGTAGCGGAGCTGCGATGCTGAGACTGAACATCTCCGCTGTTATCCTCTGGAGCTGGAAGGGAAGTGCTGGTTAGTAGATATAGCCTATTCCCCCAGTAACAACACACAGTTCAGGGAGTCAACTGATTTTATTCTGGCGACACACGGCTTTTATGCACAGACCCCTACATTGCATCTCCTATACAAAAATACAGGGCTTTTCCTCATAAGATACTCTGTGCCTGAGAGATAATTGCATGAGAAAAAGCTAAAGCTCAATTATCTCGCAGGTACAGAAAAATCGACAATAATTTAAACACCCCAAAAATAAATTTTAATACTTCAGAACCCCACAAAAGTCACATCACAGAATAGCTTGAATCTGAGCACACATTTTGCTGAAATATCAGTCAGATCTTTTTGTTGGTTCGGGAATGCCATGCGAATGAATCGGCCACGTGGTGATGCCCCAAAACAGTTCCAGAGAAAACAAGGCAATGACCAGTCATATTTTGGGGGTTCTCATACAAACACTGATAAACCCATCCCCTGGCTGTTAGGATACGAGTGCTGTTCATAGTTTCTGCCTCCCGAATGCTGTACTCCTATCTGTTCGGGAAAGTATACAAGCAGCAGTAGCCGAAACTAATTTCATGCACTCGACGACCAAGTACCACTGCCTACGTTTGGGAGACAAATGGACCAAAACCCAGGGAAAGCACTTAAGAACTCCTTAATTGCGGTTATCAGCCAGGGGTGATCGGTGTTCTAATTCGATAACAGGGAGGGACCACACACGCTCTGTTCAGTTCCCGAACAGGGGGATACATGTTTGTTCGTAGAAACTCAATATGGTTTTGGGCAACCCCAGGGACTGATGCCAGGTCCGCCACAACCCTGAAGGCCCTACTAGACAATTTACATTGAAATATTGCTGCTGACATCTCTGCGTTTAAAGAAGAGATCAGCGGAGTCTTGGCCCACCTACATGATACGGAGGTTGCCACAGCTGCCCAAGAGACACGGCTTACTTACCTAGAATGGGACCTGTAAACGCTACGGCGTGATTAGGCCCAGACTCAATACCGCATGGCGGCAATGGAAGATCGGAGGCGGTGGAAGAACGTAAAGGTGCGCGGCCTTCCAGCCAATGTCGTCACAGCCGAAATATCTCACCTGATCCGGAGGCTTCTAACACACCTATTCTTTGCCAAACAAACCAAATTAATGGTACTAGATGGCTGTTACAGGCTCTTAGCACCTCCAGCAAGCACTACAGGAGTGCATAGGGATGTAATAATCCGCTTCCAAAACAGCCCTGACAAGCAGGCGTTCATGACCGCCATTCACAGTAAGTCACCCTACAACTTTGAAGAACACCAGCTGGCATTCTTCCCAGATGTATCCAGAGCAACCTATCTATCCTGGACTGGTGAAGGTCCATGAGCCAGAAGGTCCAGATCTATCCAGAGCAACCATCTATCCTGGACTGGTGAAGGTCCATGAGACCTTTAACCATAGAACTCACAAAACACAAGATGCCTTGTAAGTGGGGAGCCCCAAGAAGTCCTGATCCCCCACCACTCTGGGACATTGAAAGTACTGTAGGCTTCTGAAATACCTGGCACGTTCCAGAAGATCGGGTTGTCCGCTGCCACAGAGGGATAACTGAACACAGCTCCGGCCCCACAGTCGACTGCCTGGGATCCCACAAGGGTTAATCCGTTTGTGCTTGCTGCACTGAGGGGTAGCCCTGTAACTACAGCGGCCTCCTGAACTGCCAAAGATCACCTGCATTGATTTAGTTCTGATTAGTTTGTTTCGATAATTTTTCAGTTGAATATAACCTCTTTATATATTTGAACTAATATGCTCTTACCACATAGAAAGCCCTTTGGGACACGTCCCTTTTCATCAATACACCTTTGCATGGGGGTCATACCCCTTTACACCGCTCCCCCACCCCCCACTCACTCACCTTTCTTGTCATTGAGCTTCTACTGAGCACCACGGGTGACAACCTCTAGCCCAACTACTTTGACTTACATACTTATATTCGTAAATGGCAAGAGGTACATAGCCTATGCTACCCCTTAAAACCATACTCTAACCTACAGTATTTCCAATAGGGATAGTGGGTTCAGTCCTCACTGTTTGAAATTACCATAATGTCTTTGCTTTTGTTTTCACTTTTTCATAACTATAAAGCCCTTAATTCAATAGTCCACAATACTGTTCACAATAATGGCTAATATTCTGAATTGTACAATGTTTCTCTAACCATGCTCATACCTGAACAATGCCTGTATCTTTTGTGGATTAAGAATAAATAAATATTGACAAAACAAATTATCTGAAAAAGGGCAAAATAAAAATGGTTGAAATGGCCGAACATTTTATTTACTTATTAATTGTGCAATTATATTAACATGCAAGTCATTTTGCAGCTCTGAGAAACCGTGTGACATTAAAACATTAAACGCCACCTGAAGGAATTAATATAACTAGTTGGAGCATATTTATAAGAACCATAAATGTCACTGTGACTGGTTACAAAATTAAATATTGATGATACAGATTAGGATAAGTCTAACATACCAAATAAGATGTAATTTGATAACCCATGAAATTTATTGTAATCCTCAAAAACATATATTCATTTTTGGCATATGCGTTATAGAGATAAAGATTTAACTTCACTAGACATTGTGTCATACATTAGTAAACATAGGTTTCCCCTAATGGTGGTCACCTCAACTGAGCTCTCAAGGAAGGGGGTAACTCAAAAGAAGTTTAATTACTCATAAAAAAAGAAATCACAATGATCCCACTAAAACTTGAGGAGAACAAATGGGCGAGAGCACAGTAAAATGTAAAGAATAAAGAAAGAGACTCCAACATTTATTAGGAACTAAGAAAAAAAATAATAAGCTCATCACACAGTGATTATAAACACTTGTCTAAGAAAACAAGAGAAGGGAGGAGTGGGCATAATAGTGGTACTCTCTACCATATCTCCACACTTCAAGAATGATAGTGACTAAACACTTTACAGGGAATAAGGAGAATGGGCCCCACTTATACTGTAGTCAGGGTGCCCTTCTTGAACTATCTCAGGGTGAAGAAACCAAAGTGAGCAGGTATATTTGGGACCAAATGAGGGAGAAGCAAAAAAAACAAAAACAAAAACCAAGAGAAAAGATGTAGCTACCAAGGATCCCAAAGTCTAAGCCCTGCTCAAAAAAATAGTCTCACAAAAAAGTATGAGTTAAGGTTAAAATCGCCTCGACATAGACCTAATACCATCTCTATCCCCAGTCTCTATCCCCAATTCCCATACTACATCTCCTATATCACCACTTCAGCCCCTACCACCTCACTACAGCTCCTGTTCCCCCATTAAAATCCTTGTCTCCCCACTACAACCCCTATTCCTCCATGACAGCCATTAACCCCGACACCCAATTACAACCCATATACCTAACTACAGCTTTTCTCACCCCTATATAGCCCAAAATGCAAGAGTAGGGGAAACCCTTAGGAGGGATAGTATGAGGTAAAACACAACACTAAAGGGAAGGGTCAAACAAGTAGTCCCTAGTTACCCAGGCACTGCAAGACACTAGTGCCCACCTGTACCAAATGTCCTTTAGGCAGGTCAAAAGCAGAAACTAAGGTGCAAAGCAAAAAGAGCTACCCATAGTGTATAAACAAAAAATGAAAATGTCGGACGAGTGTTTCGCAGTGCACAGTGGTGTATTTTGGATTTGTGCTGCCCTGTGACTAAATTCGGGCACCCCCCTAATCTAAATTTGCCCCACCACTTTGTGTCAAGATCACTTTTTGACTGACAGACGCACACCCTCATTGGCACATGCACTCACTGACAGATACACAGTCATTGGCACACACATACAGCCATTGACACACACATACAGCCATTGGCATGTACACTGTGTGAACAACCCACACTTTTACTGACAGACACACACTAACACACCAACTCAGTGACAGGAACTGTGGCGGAACCAACCTCGCCACTGGCCACTGGAGGAGCCTGGTTGCCCGCCTCCTGTCACTGGACTATGGCCCCATGTTAAAAAACCTTTTATTTTCCCTATGTGAGCAGTGTTAGCCCAGATAGCTATGCCATGGAGCCTATTCGTGTAACGAAAGACTATGTGAAAGACTTTGGCTCCATGGCAATTGAACTGTGTGTATGTGATCTGAGCGCCATTCGGTAATAATGTGCGCTCAGATCTAAGCTATATGGGGATAAGTTGAATGTATATGTTTTATGTAGTAATTGTAACGCTGTGTAATTTTATGTCTTTTTACTAACATGTGGCTAATGGAGTTTTGCCTCTGTCCTTGGAGATAATTGGATTACTTATCTCCAGGACAGAGAGGAAGGATTATAATGCATTGTGGGAGTATTTAAATGTGTAAGCTTGTGATTGGTCAATGTCCCATATGTATCCCAGTTTCCCATCTGGTCCCCTAGGGGGGTGTCCACCAGGTGGGAGACCTGCATAAAAGCCGGGCAGGTAGCCCCAGTAAATCAGTTCTGCTTGACCCTCAAACGATGTGTTGTCTCGTTCTTTGGGGGAATTGGATTGTATGCTGTTACAGTGCGACTGCCAGGAGTGTTCATATGGTTTTTCCTGTTCGGCTGTTTAACAGCATTAGTGTGTTTCCTGTTCGGGAGCTGGAGGATTCGTATGGTTCCAGTTTGGGAGTTGGAGAATTTGTGTATTTGCAGTTCGGGAGATTGGTGATTGCAGTAGCTGCCTGTGCATCTGAAAGGGGAATATCACCTAAACGGTTTTTAACCTCTTGTGTGCAAAACGGTCCGTTACAGGCACACACTCTCAGATACACATACAATGGCATACAGTCACTGACTCAAACATTCTCACTGATTTGACACATTCTGGCAGACACACACATTCACTCACTCACAGACACACACAGACAGCTACACACACTCACTGACAGACAGACACACCCACAGTTACTGACAGACACAAACACACACACTCACTGACAGGCACACACTAACAGACAGAGACACACACACTAACAGACACACACGCACATTCACTGACAGACACACTCACTGACTGACAAATACACACTGACAGCCCCACACACACACTCACTGACAGCAGGGGCGGACTGATCGGTTGGGTACTTCGGACATGGTCCAAGGGCCCAGCCAAGAAAGGGGGCCCACTGCCCACTTTGTGTGTCTGGCACTGTCAGAAACTACAACTTTGACACCGGCCGCTCGAGTCCGACAGGCAATAACTGTGACATCCTCAAGCCCAGTGAGGAAGAAGTACTTACCAGAAGCAGAGGTAGGGCCCGGGGGAGCAGATAGTGAATGCGTGCTATGTCACATATTGACATTGATGTGCGCCTTCTGCACAGGCAGCAACAATGTAAAAAAAAATAAAAAGAAAAAAAAAATATCAGGGGTCCCTATATCAGTGCATCCAGGCCCCTGATCTATGTATTGCTGCTGTGCTGGGAGGAAGTCTCCTCCCTGCTTACCAACAAACTGCTGGGAGAGAGAGAAGGAGACCAAGAGGGAGCAGAGCCTGACTCCCATCACCTTCAGCCAGATGCCACTGGACACCAAAAAAGTATGAAAGCAGGAGGGATGGTTACTATGTAATGTTATCTATGTTTCTATCTGTATCTGTGTGTATATGAGTAAGGCTGTGTATTTATATTAGTTTCTCTGTGTATATGTGTGTGTTTGTGTATCTGCATGTGTGTTAGTGTGTGTTTGTGTATTGGTATATGTGTTATTGTGTATATGTGTGTCAGTGTGTGTCTGTATCTGCATGTCTGTACCTGTGTATCTCTGTGTGTATATGCATGTGTGTCTGTGTATCTGTGTCAGTGTGTGTCGTTATGTGTGTGTGTGTGTATATGGCAGTGTATATGTATATGAGTATACATCTCAGCATTCACACGCCAACCCTACAGACAAATACACCCCTGCATTTAAACATCAACACTACATACACACACCCTACATTCAAAACCAAACACTACACAGTACATAAAAACACACAACACAACACTATACACAAATACACCTCTAAATTCACACACACATACTCCATACAAGAAAATACTTACATTCCAACTTGCAAACACTGCTCAGTGCTAAATACAACCCTGCAAGGATGGGCAAATGGTAGATCCCCAGCTGGCAAAACATTGCACTAGTTGTACGACAGTTGTCCATCCTTGCGATAGGGGGGCCAAAATATTCTTGCACCAGGACTCTCTCTATTTAGTTCTGCCATCGTGTTTCTTTGTATCTGTATGTGTGTATTTTTATTTGTATGTGTGTCTGTGTATCTGTATGTGTATCTGTATGTGTGTCTGTGTGTGTGTGTGTCTGTGTGTGTGTCTGTGTGTATCTGTATGTCTGTGTATCTGTATATGTTTGTGTGTTTCTCTGTATCTATATGTATTTGAGTGTGTGTATCTGTGTATGTCTGTGTATCTGTATGTGTTTGTGTCTGTATATCTGTATGTGTTTGTGTGTGTCTGTATATGTCTGTGTGCATATGTGTATCTGTATGTATGTTAGTGTGCATCTGTATATGTGTGTGTCAGTGTGTGTCTGTGTACTTGTATATGTGTCAGTGTGTATTTCTGTGTTTATACCTGTGTATCTGTATGTGTGTCAGTGTGCATCTCTGTATCTGTATGTGACAGTGTGCTTCTGTGTATCTGTGTGTGTGTTAGTGAGCCTCTGTGTATAGGTTTGTGTGTCAGTGTATCTGTATGTATTGGTGCGTGTGTGTGTGTGTGTGTGTGTGTATATATATATATATCTCAGAATTCATATTTCAACACTTCACACAAATTCAAACATCAACACTACATATAGACACACCCCTACATTCAAAAGCAAATACTACACACAAGTAAACCACTCCTTTAGAAGTGTAACAGTACCTAACAACACACTACACACAAATACACCACTACATTCACGCACACATACTGCATTCAAAAACATGCTCACATTTAAACATACAAACACTGCACAGTGCTAAGTACAACACTGCAATTATGAGCAAATGGTAGATCCCCAGCTGGCAAAGCATTGGTGGAGTTGTACCTTTTTTCCATCCTTGTGATAGGGGGGCCTCAAAATAATTATTGGACCAGGGCCCTTTCTATTTTAGTTCCACCACTGAGCGCAATGCAGATTATCAACTTAAAAAATGGTACACATAGAAAATCTTAATTTAGTAATGCAGGGGAATATTTAATCATAGGCAAACTTAAATATACACTATATATATACAGTGCTCCATTTGCACTGATGCTTTCCTGTTATAATCTTATCCCTCTACTACAGCCCCTATCTCCCATGAAGCCCCAGACCACCCAACCCCCACACCAGTCTCTATCCCCAATTCCCATACTACATCTCCTGTATCACCACTTCAGCCCCTACCACCTCACTACAGCTCCTGTTCCCCCATTAGAGTCCTTGTCTCCCTACTACAGCCCCTATTCCTCCATGACAGCCCTTAACCCCGACACTTCAGACTCTATCCCCAATTACAACCCCTATACCTAACTACAGCTTTTCTCCACCCACTACATCTCCTATGGCACCACTACAGCCCCTACCACCCCACTACAGCCCCTCTCCCCCATGACAGCCCATAACCACCCAAGCCCCACACTACAGTCTCTATCCCCAATTACAACCCCTATAATCCCACTACAGCGCTTATTCCCCCATTAGAGCCCTTGTCGCCCATTAGAGCCCTTATCTGTAACACAAAGATGAACATGTGTGCTGTGCGTGTATGTGGGTGTGATGTATATTTGTGTAGTTTGCTAGTTGGTTTGTACAAGGGGGGCCCATGATCTTTTATTGCCCAGGGGCCCCATGAGTTGTCAGTCCGTCCCTGACTGACAGCTACACACTCACTCACTGAAACACACAGATACACACATTTTCTCATACACTTACCAATTATAATTTTTTTATTTTTTTTTCAAATATAAATCCACCCAGCCTCCCTACCTTTGGGGGAACTGGAGTGGATACTGTCCCTGATTGCTGTTTGGCTGGCTGTGTGGGCTCCTTGCTGGGGCTGCTTGCTCCTGCTGGCCAGGCAGGTTCCTTGCTTGATCTGCTGGGACTTCTGACTTTTGCTGGTTTGGCTGGCTGGGCAGACGCTCAATGGAAGCAGCGAGGGAACTTTAACAAGAAATATTTAAACCCATAACTTCTTTGCTGGTTTTGAATCTCTCTCATCGTTATCTTGTTGAAATGTATTTAGGATTAGAAATGTGTACTGTTGAAAAATAGGTTTTGTTTCATTCCAATTTATTATTTTTCGAATTTTGGTTTATCTGAAATTTGGGAAGTATCGATTTGTAGCAAAATGAAATTTTGGAGAAATAAATATTCCTCCCCCCCGAACTTTTGATGTAATTATTACAAAGTATACCAAATAAGGGTGATGTTTAACAGTGTTTTCATTACAGCCTAGTGACACCACCACTGACCACTCCTCGGATGGCTACTCGAGGTGCTTCCTGGGGCAGTGCTGCACATTCAGTGTCACCACCCTCTGAATGACACGGAACTGATTGATTCAATGCATCTCTATGAGCAGATGTTAATTGGCCAGGACTTGTGCTCGCTCTGCCCCTGATCTGCCTCCTTGACAAGTTTAGCCAATCCTATGGAAAAGCATTGTGTTTGGCTTTGATCAACACTTCTGATGTTATCAACCAAGCAGGCAGATCAATGGCAGAGCCAGCAGCTGCAGACTAAAATAGAGGTATAATTTTTTATATATTTAGAGTTGCAAGGAGGGCCAGGGGCGGCTAGATGGTGGTTTTAACACTATATGGTCAGGAATATATGTTTTTGTTCCTGACCCTATAGTGTTCCTTTAAATTTGCTCACTGCTCTCTAATTTGGTACCCTTAATTATGGAAACCCACATAAGGAATTCAAATTAGGGAGCTGTCTATGGAGCTCCTTTACACTGACCGAGTACCTCCATCCAGTTCTCTTCCTAGTCAATTGCTGTAACCCTGGAGAACCTCAACCCCAGTCCTCGAGGCTTGACTGTCGTCTATCTGGAGCTTTCCAACTGACCAGGCTGCAGCTCTCCTTCCAGGCAGATATCGTACCCTTTGCCTATTACTCTGCAACTTTTCTTCCATTCATATATCATCCCCTCTGCAGTCCTTCTTCCAGGCAGGTATGCACCTCTGCCTGCAATGTAATAGCTCTTGTCTTTATAAAGATACTTGCTTCTCTCAGGCCTAGCTCTCTTGATTTGCCCCAGGGCTTAGAGAGATTGTGCAGCCAGCAAATAGGTACGACAACTCTGCTATCGGGATCCCTAAAAATCCACACAGGAAACACAGTTCCAAAAGTAACTAATATACTGCTTTATTTTTACTCTAAACTGTAGTGCATTGAAAACTAAATTGCAAAATATAAACAAATAGTGCTGATTAAGAAAATTTAGCAACTGTAACAGCTTGCATAACAACTTAAATTTTGCAGTTTTTCTACCTTACGGGCCTCCCCATGATAAGGTTTGACAGTTTATCTGGTGTCCATTGGGCATTGTGTGCCTCCTTCACTTAGAGCTAAAAGCCCCATATGTGGAGCTTCCATTAGCTCTCTTGAGCTTAGCACTACTGTGTACATCCAGCTCATTGGTTAAGAGTGTCCGCTGATTGCTCTCAGCCAATGAGCCAAGTCTTGCACCTCTCAGCTAGCCCAAAGCAGAGAGCTCTTGATTCTCAATGGAGGAGGTGACTGGCACCTGGGAGACTACAAGTTACTTTTCAAACCATTGGATTTGGAGGATACCATGGCACCCCTGGCACCATAACCACAATAATGAGTTGTAGCGGTTATGGTGCTTGGATTGTTTCTTAAACAGAGTACAAATATGACATTTGAGAATTTATTTTCATTAATAATACATTCATAATAATTTGAATAACCATATTACATATGGACATCACCTATTAATCATACAGAAAACAATGCTTAGGTCAAATAAAACCATTTAATTAATTTTAAGAAGGGGGGGGGGACGACTGTGTATGATCTTGTGCTTAGGGCCAGGGTTACTATTCCATTATAATTTTTCATCTTTCAATAGGGGAATTGAACAGTTGTGATGGTCTCTCTATATGTTCGTTGACATGTATCCAAAGTATCAGTTCAACCCCTTAAGGATGGATGCAATTGTACAAGTTTTGAACCAAAACAAACCTAGAATTTGAGCGATATGTCTGTTCAACCATAATTGACCTATTTCATATTGAGTGCACCAACACTTATATATAATTTTGGGCGGGGGGGTATCGGCACACATTCTTGCAGATTTTATCACTTTGAATAACATCTAGCTCTTAGTATGAATTGCTGAATAAAGAGTACCTTTGAGATAATTGTTCTCTCTCTGTCCCTGCTAATAATGCATGACTAACTGGCAATTAACTGCAATTATATAAATGATTATAATAATAAATCACAGAAAAATAATACAAATAATTGTGTGTTTTGCTTAGTTTATTGGCTTATTAATACAAATGAGTTGATTGTAAATTTTTAAATTGGCCCAATATAAGTCTTGTGTCAATATTTGTGGATAAACTTTTGAAATAAGTTAAACATTTCAGATAAACTTGTAAAATCTTTTTTTTCAAAATACTCAATATCAAATAATATATAATATATAACAAAACATCATTGGTATATCAAATGCAAATAGCAAAATATTAAATAATTTTAAAAGTAAAAAAAAAAATTAATCACATGAAATGTTTACACAAACATATTAAATTAAGGCCATAATTAGGAAATAGAACCATTTTATCATATTATCTGGTCTCACTCTTAAAAATATTCTGTTCTTTTAACACTTTTTTTCAAGTGATATTTTCAATATACATTTTTTTCATTGTGTATCATGGTAACACAATCACAATAGAACCTAGACAAGTTTTATCAGTCTGTGTTAAATGTTCTGAAAAGTAAAGATTACAGATAAAGTCAATCTTGCTAGTGGCTTCTAATCTGTCCTTGTACATAGTCTAGAATTGTCAAACACCCACAGAGAGTCAAAACACCCTCTATCTATTCAAATGCCTTAACTTCACATCATCTAGGGAATGTCTATATGTGTGTGGGCTGAGATCAATTCCTTGTACTAATTACTGAGATTTATCAACTTTAATTGAATCAACATATGCTTATTTTCTCTGGATACAAGAATTTAAATAGAAATGCTTTGTAAAATATGTTGATTTAGCAGTACACTGTTATGCCATCCAAAATCTTAAATACATCTTTATTAGAAAGGACAGAAAAGTTATATGAAGTAAAAATAAACATAAGTAAAGTAGATCTACAACACAATGTAACTCCAAGTCAATCACACTTCTGTGAAATCAAACTGTCAACTTAGGAAGCAACACTGAGTGACACTCAATTTCACATGCTGTCGTGCAAATGGTATAGACAACAGGTGGAAATGATATGCAATTAGCAAGACACCCCCAATAAAGGAGTCGTTCTACAGGTGGTGACCACAGACCACTTCTCAGTTCCTATGCTTCCTGGCTGATGTTTTGGTCACTTTTGAATACTGGCGGTGCTTTCACTCTAGTGGTAGCATGAGACGGAGTCTACAACCCATACAAGTGGCTCAGGTAGTACAGCTCATCCAGGATGGCACATCAATGCGAGCTGTGGCAAGAAGGTTTGCTGTGTCTGTCAGCGTAGTGTCCAGAGCATGGAGGCGCTACCAGGAGACAGGCCAGTACATCAGGAGACGTGGAGGAGGCCATAGGAGGGCAACAACCCATCAGCAAGACTGCTACCTCCGCCTCTGTGCAAGGAGGAGCAGGAGGAGCACTGCCAGAGCACTGCAAAATGACCTCCAGTAGGCCACAAATGTGCATGTGTCTGCTCAAATGGTCAGAAACAGACTCCACGAGGGTGGTATGAGGGCCCGACGTCCACAGGTGGGGGTTGTGCTTACAGCCCAACACCATGCAGGACATTTGGCATTTGCCAGAGAACACCAAGGTTGGCAAATTCGCCACTGGCGCCCTGTGCTCTTCACAGATGAAAGCAGGTTCACACTGAGCACATGTGACAGACGTGACAGAGTCTGGAGACGCCGTGGAGAACGTTCTGCTGCCTGCAACATCTTCCAGCATGACCAGTTTGGCAGTGGGTCAGTAATGGTGTGGGGTGGCATTTTAAAAGCCCAAATTGCAACATCCAAATTATATTTTGCCGGTACTATAAACTTAATTGGAATAGACCCATTACATCCTGCATTGGCAATATAAAATAAAATAACAGACAATTTAAAAATATTGCATTATTCACATAAAACATAATACTTACAAATTAAGGGGCATATAAATTAAGAAATTAGGATAGAGAATTGGAACAAGAACAATAAACTAAAATTATATTAAAACACTTATTTCAAAATCAATATAAAGTATTTTGGGGGATAATGTGTCTAAATCAAATATCCACTTCATTTAATTTTTGCTTAAAATAGATGTTAAATTACCCCCTCACCAATGGTTTTGGTTAACCTGTGTCCCATAAAATTATAACTGGAATTCTATAAAAAAAAAAAAAATTGGGATACACTATGATTTTTATACTGAACCACTATGATCTATATTTGTTAGGGCAAAACATAATAATGCAGATCTTGAGAAGAAGAACATTTCATTTATAATATTATAATACATCATTAAAGGGATGATCTTAGCACCAGAACCACTAAAGCTTAATGTAGTGGTTCTGGGGCAAAGAGACTGTCCCTGCAGTTTTAGCAGTCTAAAAACTGCCTTTCCTGAGAAATAAAGTGCTTACATTAGCTCCTATGACCATTTCTAGTGGCTGTCACTCTGGCAGTCACTAGAGGCGGTTCCTAGTTATGGTTCTACAAAGATTCCCGGACCGGTGTTTGGCATGTCCACGCTCTACATGGAGACAGCAAAATTCCCCCCCCCCTCCCAAAGATTAATTGAGTCAATGCAGGAGGTGCTGACTGGCTCACTGTGGAAAATTGTGCTCATGTGTACTAGCCCCCCAAATGCTTCTCTGTGGGAAAATATCAGCCTGGCTGATAACATCAGTGCTGGTTAGCTCAGCCAAAGGAGGACCACAGCCACGCTGAGAACAGCATGTAGATGGATCAAAGGCATGTAGATGGATAAAATCTATATTCTCTGACTTCTTAGGAAGAACAATAGTGAAACTGCGCACAACACTCTAATATTAGGAATACATTTTGTACAAATATATTTAATGCACTACCTAGAGAAGGGGTAAATAAAATTATTTTTAGCATGCAATTGAGTATTGTATGATTGCTGTTCTTTATAATCATAAGATTGGGTAGAGGCCTGTCTTAAATTTCTCTCAGAAATTTACAAGGAGTGCCAAAAAAATGAGCTCATTAGAGAATAGAGCATGTCGACAGTATTCTAATGGTTTTAAATTATTTAACAGACTTGTACACAACTGAAAAATTTGGCTTAGCCGTATCACTTTATCCAGAAAAAAAAGTAGTTCAGATAGTCCAATATACGTCCATTTTGATGGTCTGCTCAGATTTATAACATCTGTGCTAAATATTCGGGAAAACAATTAGGACAAATCAATAAGGCAGGAAATAGGAAAGTCAGTGTACTGCAAAATATAAATAGTTGATAAATATATTTAACAAACAACACTTTTATTTGTAAAATATGATAAAGCCATTTAACAGGCAATAAACATATTTATATTCATAGTCTACTGTTTGAAAAGTTAGTTCGTATACTTTGTTGTCTTTTTGCTTGTTAATGATGTGCTAATACACCATTAAAGGGACACTATAGTTCCCAGAACAACTACAGCTTAATGTAGTTGTTCTTGTGAGTATAGTATGTTCCTGCAGGCATTTTACAGTAAACACTCCCTTTTCAGAGAAAAGGCAGTGTTTCTATTAGTGACTAGGGACACCTCTAGTGGCTGTCACTCAGACGGTTACTAGAGATGCTTCCTGGGTCAGTGCTGCACAATGTGTCTCCACACCCTGCATTTATTCAATGTATCTCTGAGGAGATGCTGATTGGCCAGCGCAGCATTTTGTCACACGTGTACATTAGACTCCCAATGCTTTCCAAATGGAAAGCGTTGGATTGACTGAGATCATCAGATCATCAGAGGCAGATAGGAGGCAGAGCAGCACTGGAATAAAGGTAAAATGTAACCCTATTTAAGGGGAGCAAGGGGGCTAGCCACCCAAATAGTGTTTTTAAACCTTTAGAGTCAGGAATACATGTTGGTATTGCTAACCCAATAGTGTTTCTTTAAGAGAAAAATTAATTAGTATGTTTTGCTTTACTTTAAATAACATATATAATTATTGTTGTTGCATTTTAGCATGGCAAGCAATGCCAATGAAAACACAAGTGATGGAGACGATGGAAATTTCAATTTCAGCTTTAAAATGTTTACTAGCTGGGATTATCTGATTGGAAACCCAGAGACTGCTGACAACAAGTTTGCATCAATAACCACTAGCTTTAAGGTAACAAAAATAAGATCAACAAATCATTATGTCTCATTCTGGTTTTCAGTGCTGCATTTTCTTCTTACAAAAAGTATCTCCAATGCTATGGATTAATATTAATGGTGCTTCTTGTTGTATCACAAAAAATATTTTATAATTATATAGTTTATTCTCTCCAACTGTAAGGCAAACATGTGAACAGCAAATTATATATAAAGAAACACAATTCCCTTTTGTTAAAATATGCATAATAATCATTATATATGCTAATTAAGGCTATACTTACCTTCGTTAAATATGCTATTTGTTTCTCTTATAGTTAATAAGGTGATGGGAAATTTCGATTCAAAATGCCTATTGCATCATCAGGATGATTAGCATCAGTTCAGTTAAACGAAAAACATTAAATCACAAAAAAGAAATAGGAGTTACAAATTTTACTACCCAGAGGGCATATGTCCTGATAAATTCACGGGCCTCTTAAAGGCCCCTTTGGGAACTTATGCAAGATATACATAAGCAAGACTGGTCAAAAGGTAAATCCCCGCATGTCATAAAACTGCAATTGCCATGATACTTTGCCAGCCTTTACAATAGCATAGCATCATACAATTTGCCACCATCTGGGGATCTACCTTTTTATCAAAATAATGTGATAGCCAATGTGAGTAGGAGGGTTATGTGGAAACGCAATCAGTCCTTGAGCTAATAAAGAATAGGCTTGCCTCAGACTTTCTAAACCTCCTTAAAAAAACATCTTTTCAGGGTACCATCAAACTCTTTTTTTTATTAAATGCATTTCAATTACTTCTATTTATGATTCTTTCTCTCCTGCAGGAATCTATTGTAGATGAAGAAGAAAGCCATAAAGATGAAAACATCCATCTTACTAGATTTCTGCGAGTCTTGGCCAATGTTATGATAATATGTTGCTTGTGTGGGAGTGGATATCTCATTTATTTTGTCGTGAAACGCTCACAGACATTCTCTAAGATGCAGAATGTTGGGTGGTATGAAAGAAATGAGGTATTATATTTTTCAATGCTGCTAAATGTCACTTACAAAGCACTTCTTTTTTAAAAGGGTTTTATCTTAGTCTACAATATGCACTTCCAACCTTAGGCTTCAATCACTAAAAGCGATTTGTAGTGAAATAACCAAATATCTACACTTATCTTTGCAATTTATTAATTTCACTCTATTTTTTTTCTGTAAATTGAGGGTATGTCTATTCACAGAAGATATTTAAATAATATTTGTTTTACTTACTTTCCAATCTTCATCTCAAAATGAATTTATTTTCTTTGATCATTTGGCAGGTAGAGATTGTCATGTCTTTACTGGGGATGTTTTGTCCACCATTATTTGAAACTATTGCAAATCTGGAAGAATACCATCCCCGTGTGGCACTGAAGTGGCAGCTGGGAAGGATCTTTGCACTATTCCTTGGAAATCTTTACACGTTCTTACTTGCTTTGATGGATGATGTTAATGAAAAAGTGAGACACAAAAGCACGTTTCTGTAATGTATATTATACATCTATCTCTGAATGGAAGCATAGAGATATGCTACACTGGATATACATTTGCCAGATTAATTTAAAGCAAAACAACATCCATGAAATATTCAATCAGTATCTTGAGCGCCATTTTCTCTGGATTGATGGGTGGATGAGTATGTTAATGGGTAGGTGGGGGTAGATGGACAGACAATAAATACATAAATAGGTCAATTAAATCCTGAAGAACTAAGGCAATTGTCCCAAGTTCTGAACCAAATCAAAACCTAGAATTTGCACCAGAATGTGTTTGTTCCACCATAAATTAAGTGTGTCTCTTTCAGTGTCACTACACATATTATATATTGTTTATTAAAGGAAAGAAATGACTTTCGTTTCATATCTTATATGTATACCTAACACATTAGGTGTGAATAAAATGTTAAAAATGGGGGGGGGGGGGAACTAATATTTTTTAGAAATCTAATGCAACTAAATAAAAATAACTCAATATACTCACATATCAGTCCTGATAGCAAAATGTCTAGTATATGTTGGATATGAATGAATTTTTAGTAGTTAACCCACCCCTATACAACCCTATACAACCTCCCCTCCCACACACACACAATGCTTACACTAACACTAGCCATGTACCTACCCTAACCTTCCCTAACCTCAACCCTACACAATCCCTACCCCTAAAACACCATTAATCTAAATCCAGCATTAACTCTGACCTTACCCTAACACTAAGCCTACACTAACTCTAACCATACACCTAACACTAACCCTACCCTACCTCCATATGTAACCCTACCCCTACGCATGCTTCTAAACCTAAGGAAACCCTCTGCTAATATGATTACTAACATCAGCATATAGGTTTCCTATTTAAAACAGTAGAGATGCTGGCTTTTCTCAGTATTATAGGAACATATTCCTGTAATAGTAAGTGATGCATGCTTTCACATTTTATTACACTGTGATCAGTGCTGGGTAGCTGGCAAAGCCCCACACTGACAAATAAGCTTGGAGATATGCAGAGAGACCCAGTCAGGGTCTGGTCAGAGGCTGGGGGTCTCCCTGCAGCCCTCGCATCACAGCAGGGTTCTGAATGGATTTTAAGGGCTGCATAGACAGCTGTATACTCAAATGGCCCTAACTGACTAGTAAACCCAGGTATCTGTTGATACTTGGATTTACCGGTGTGAGCAGGGCTTTAGCTCACACTGCATTGACATTTATAGCGATTTAAATCCCCATTTAAAGAGCTGCATATAGTGCTCACTTTGAGTGCAGCATATAGTTCATCTGTCAGTTTAGGGCCATTAAAAATGGGCCCATCTGACAGAGGGGAGCCACAAGTATCGGCTGAAACTGCATGACATTCCATGCCATCCTAACAGCATTAAAGCCCATTATGTAGAGGATGGTGTAAAATGTTCTAATGTTGAGAAGTGGTTAAGATACCACTGTCTGGAGAATCTGATATTGTTCCAAAAAAATACAGAGTTTAAAAAAATAGTAGGCTATAACAATTGATTTTGTAATTTGTATCCATCAACACAATTTACAAGTTTATTCAGTAAACCAGGAATTGTGGAGAATTGAAAAGGTAATTGAAAATCTAGACAAAAAAGTACCGCAGGAAAAATGCTAAGCTATTTTGACCTGATTTTGCAAATTTCTTGTCTTTTCTCTTGTGCATTATCTGTCGTTATTCTGTAACTGCACAATCTATCATAAACATCCCACAACAACATCAAATAGTAATTATTATTTGCAACCTTTTAGCTTTCGGAGACCCCCAGCAAATGCATTGCAACAAAAACAGAGAATATGATAATTCTGGGAATTGGAAAATGTTTAGAGAAACTCCGTATCTTGCCAATCAATTAGTCCCCACTCAGGACTGAAATAGTTTTTGCTCACTTGTGCCATTACAGAGAGAATCTATACCATTTGCATATCAGACTGATTCCACCCATAAGGGCATAATTTTTAAATTCCCTGTTTGTGTTGTAATTATTATTTACATAATATTATTATATAATTATATATTATTATTATTTACCTGTTTTTACCGATGTACCTCTGATAAACAGTATATTGAATGTGATTCATTCTTTACAGATGATTACTGCCTTTTGCTACCAAGGTAACATCAGAATATTTACCTACCAGCGCTGTTCTAAATGTGGGGTGAATGGGGCAGCTGCCCCAGGCCCAGTTTCTCCTGGGAGGCGCAGGAGCAGCTGCCTGTGGGCCCCGCTGTCCGCAAAAAAATTGTATCTGCCCCATGGGCCAGCCGGTGCTGCGGCTGCACCTGGGCCCACACACTAAGGGGGCCCATGGAGTAGGGACAACTGGCGGCCATTTCTCAGTAGAGGCCTTGTCTGGCGTTGTGGACCTTTAAAAGGGCCTACTTGCTTTACGGCAGCCGGCTGGGAGGAGGTGACTGCCGTGAGTCACTTCCTCACAGAGATTGTAAAGGCGCGCGGGAGGGAGGAGGAGGCCGTCAGGTGGGCGCTGGAGTGCCAGAGCCTCTCATTCCCAACTACCTCAGCCTGTCACTGGACCCCAGGGAAGCCATCCTCCTGAACCCATAAGGTAGGAAACTGGAGGGTGGCTTTAAAAATGTGTCAGTGTGTCTGCCAGTGTGTCTGTGTGTGTGTCACTGTTTGTGTCAGTATGTCTGTCAGTGTGTCTTAGTATGTCTCTGTGTTTGTGTGTGTGTGTCTGTGTCAGTATGTCTGTCTGTGTGTCTGTATATGTGTCAGTATGTATGTCAGGATGTGTCAGTGTTTGGCAGTATGTCTGTATGTATCAGTATGTCTGTCAGGACGTTTATGTGTGTGTCAGTATGTCTCTGTATGTCTGTGTGCATGTCACTATATCTGTCAGTGTGTGTCTCAATATGTCTGTCTGTCAGTATGTATCTCTATTTTGTCAGTATGTGTATCTGTGTGTGTCAGTGTGTATATCTGTGTATTTATATTTAGTCAGTATATCTATGTTTGTTAATGTTTGTATCTGTGTGTATGTGTATCTGCATGCCTGTATGTATGTCAGCGTGTGTGTGTATCTGTATGTTATCATTGTTATTAGTGTGTGTATATCTGTCTGTGTATACACACAGTGTGTTTATCTGTGTATCTGCGTGTGTGTCATGTATGCATCAGTGTGTCTGAGTATCTATATGTGTCAGCGTTTTATATATGTGTCTGCATGTGTATCTATGTGTCTCTATGTGTCATTGTGTATATCTGTGTCAGTCTGTATCTCCATGTTTGTCAGTGTGAGTGTCAGTGTTTATATATGTGTATCTGCATGTGTTTCAGTGTGTGTATATGTATCAGTGTGTGTGTGGCAGTGTATGTGTACATGTGCATACATCTCAGCATTCAAAACACCAACACTACACACAAGTACACCCATGCATTCACACTACATACAAACACAGTCCTGCATTGAAACGTCAACACTACATACAAACACACCTCTGTGTTAAACCCAGAAAATATATATAAACACACCCCTGCATTCAAAAACAAACTCTACAAATAAATGCATGCTTGCATTCAAACGACAACACCACATACAAACACACCCTTGGATTTACACAAACATACTCTATACAAAATCATGATTACATTCAAACACACAAACACTGCTCAGTACTAAATACAACCCTGCAAGTATGGGAAAAGGGTAGAGCCCCAATGGCAAAGCATTGTTAGAGTTGCATGACAGATGGGAATCTATGGTTTGGCTACCCTTGCAATTCTTGCACCAAGGCCCTCTCTACTTTAGTTCCACTATTGCGTTGGGGAGTGGAGGACCTGATTGCATGTCAGGGAGTGGGGGAGGGGGTCAGGGCTCAAGGGGCCCAACCAAATGCTTGTCCAGGGCCCAATCAATATTAAAGACGGCATGTTACCTACCCCTAGTCAATTGCATAATATTCAAACTTACTATCCAATTCTAAGTATAAAATTAAATATATTTTAACTTAAAATATTGTGATATGGGTATTGTGTTAATTTTGAATGAAACTTATAAACAGTTATTTTATATTTATTTCAGCTAGCCCAAGAGGACGTTATAAGGAATATCACATACTGGACTTTGTACAACTATTACAACTCTTCAACTTTACCAAATGGTACTGAAACTACTCCACCTCCTCTACACCCAGCTGATGTACCACGAGGACCATGCTGGGAAACAAATGTTGGAGTTGTAAGACATAATTAGTTATTATTAGTTATCATGTATTTGCTTTTAAATTTATAGAAGAAACATTGTTTCTATTGTACCAACTATTTGAAAGAATAAGAAAAAGTGAATGTGCCCATATGCCTATCATGTGTTCTCACTATCTCATGGAAGTATTTATTTACAGCTATATATCATAGCATCCTTGTTTACCTTCCCAAATGCAAAACAAATACAAATCACTGTTTAGTAGATATACCCCAGATGAAAACATGCATGCATTTATTTATGCATTTTGCATTGATGGTATATCTAAAAACAACTTAAAACTGCAGATCTCTTCTCTGAAGCTTTTGCAAGCCCTCCCCTTTTAATCCCGCCAAGACTTTCTGTGGCTGTCCAATCACTGACTTCCCAATGCAGCACAGTGAAAAATCTTTGCAAGGCAGGTGCTGTAGGCAATTGCTTGCCTCTTGAGTTTAGTTCCACTGAGCTAAACAACCAGTAAGAAAAAACAACTTTGCTTGAAAGTCAGGGGTGTTACAACATTTTTTTCTAAACGTGCCAATTTCTATTAAAATGCACTTTTTGCGAAATGAAAATAAAAGGAAAGCATTGAATTGATTGAGATTGTCAATTCTGAAGTTCTCAGTCAAGTAGGTGAGGCAGGGGTGGAGCCAAAGCCACTCTGGCCGTTCATCATCTCCTCATTGAGTCAATGCATCTCTATGAGGAATGTTCAGTGCCTCCATGCAAAAATGGAGACGCTCAATATCAGTGACTGCCACTGAAGGTGTCCCTAGGGAGCAATGTAAGCACTGCCTTTTCTCTGAAAAAGCAGTGTTTACAGCAAACAGTCTTCAGGGACTGACTATACTCACTAAAACTACTACATTAAGCTGTAGTTGTTGTTTCTATAGTGTCCCTTTAAATGTTAAATGCTGGACAATTCAATATTTAGTAAATAGTATCCTTCACATTAAGGATACTAGTGTTAGACAGTTTTATGTTCTTTGTTTTAAGTCTAAATTAATTGAATTTGATGTATTCTTAATTGTCATGATATTTTGTTTTTTCAGTCTTTTTTAACAACTGTATTTAATCCCTTTGACAGGAGTTTGTAAGGTTAACAGTGTCCGACATCCTTGTCACATATGTCACTATACTTGTTGGGGATTTCCTCCGTGCATGCTTTGTCCGATTTATGAACTATTGCTGGTGCTGGGATTTGGAAGCTGGATTTGTGAGTTATTTCATTTTCTTCATGAAATTATAGTAAACACATCACAGAGCTTTCTCTTTAGATATGTGCAGGGTTATTTACTGAAGTATATGTTAGCAAACATAAACTGTGCACCGGAGTGTACGTGTGTGTGTTTGTGCATCTATGACTTTAGGTATACATCTATGAATGTTGTGCCTGTATATATTTGACTGAATGTGTGCCTTTGTTTGTATGTGTGAGCGTGTGTCATTATGTATGTATTTGTGAGTGTCTGTAGAGGCACATTTTGCATGTGTTAAGTGGATAGCTTTAGGGAGGAGTAACCAAGATTTAGGCTCAAGCCCTGGGTCTATATTGATTCTAGCAACGCCCCTTCAGATAACTATTTTTCTTAGAAAACTATAGTTCTTGATTTTACTATCACCTTTACATGAAAAAGATATGATATAGTGATAGCAAAAATGTGAATAGATTTTTGAATCCAAAATGGTTCTCCTGTAGAATTAAAATGCTGAAGAGGTCGTTTAGTTCAACAGTTAGAACTAAATGACTAAACTGTTAGTTACCTCTGGATTTATTGAGTATGTAAAAATGTAACATATAATTGGGAAAAGTGAATGTTTTCTTTACAAGTAGCACAGGATAAATCAGAGAACATATTGATATATTCCAACTTTTAATATGACTGCATGGCCATTTTAAATATTGTCACTTCTAAATTGGCTTTTCGTGTCTCTAAATTGGCCATAAATAGGCAACTAACATGTTGTCCTTCTAATGACTTTGTAATACTCCTATACATTTTGTGGTCTGTATCTAATGTTTTACTCTCTTTTAATGAATACATCATATACATGGTTAGTTAAACTAGAATATTTTCATGGTGAGTGTGACGGAACGCTGGCACTCCGACTGAGTACCTCCGCCAATCGATGCTCCTAGTGCTCGCTGAGGACTCCAAGCACTCCAACCGACACCATCAGCACTGCAGACCCCACTTCCAGCGATGCAACTGTGCCGGGGTCTCTGCTGTTTCCACCCACCCTGGACCCAAGGCCAGGATCCAGCTTCCAGTGGGTGAACCTCTCTTTCGCCAGAGAGCAGGAACAGGAACAAATCAAGCTATTGCAAGAGCTTCCTCTGGGGAGTAAGTGATTATAGCAATCCCCAGAGTGTAGGTATCCCTTCCCCCAAACATGAGCCAAGGCTTAATGCTGGAACAAGACTGATTTACTGGCACACAGAACTCACAATTTATGCAACACAAAACTCCTCCTCTGGGCCAGGCTAGATAATTGAGTTTCTACAATACACAAAGTTCAATTATCTGCTTGCCAGAAATAATACAGTTTCATAAAACACACAGGGACCCCAAAACATGCAATAACCCCATAAAAGGTATATCCTTGGAACCGGGGGATCTGGGTGAACCACATATCCAAAATTCACCCAGATCCGTTCAGTACTTTGGAAAATACAGTTTAATGCAGATTCTGCAGAACATATACAGGCTAAATGAAAAACAATCACTGTATAATGTGTCCCCTGCTGTATAGTCCAAAACCACTGCACATGTCTCTGTGCACCAAATACTGGCGAGATGGCACCGTGTTGAAAAGTCCAAACAGTGTCTGTGAGTTAAAATGGCCACCATCCATTGTTCTCACCATGTGCTTCTGATACAGGAAATGGTGGCCACCCAGTAACTCCACAGTATGTCCCCAGATGGTTCTTAAAGGGCCAGCAGCAGCACAACACAAATCCATTATGCCCAAATCATGTCTATAAAGGGCAATACAAACCAGGGGCCATAGTCACAGGGCAAGAGGCGGGCAAGCAGTCCTCTCCAGGCACTAGTGGCGAAGGGCACTTCGTCACAGTGAGCATTTTTACACGTAGCAAATGTATAGAGTTTGGGACAAATGTCTGATTAAATGAAATGGGAATGCAAATACTAAGCAAAGAATATTCCAATGGTGCCTCACACACTTGGGAGGCTGCATACTCCAAGTGACTTGAGAAAGGCTCTGACTGGGAGCAGAAATGTGGCCTCTGTTCCTAATAAAAATCTGCCTTTGCTTGGATGTGATCCTTTAGTGCTTTCAATTTAATACATAGCAAGAGACTAGCAGGGCAGGTTGCAAAAAATGTGTCCTGCTTAGGCCTAAACATAACAGTGGCTGAACAAATCACAAGGCACAGTATGTATCTGTATGGAGCAGACTGAAATGGGCCACCAAATCCAGGTTGTACTTAGAGTAATCCATCAGCCTTTCGTGCCTTTGATGAGGAAACAGAAGACACTAATACCTTATTTCAGGACTTTGAGAAATTGTGCGGAGTTTATTGGATAGAGGAAGTTCACAGTGTTTATTGTAGCAGCTCTCCCGGGGCTAGACACAGTGGATGCACCTGACTACACTGCAGTAAAGAGTATATATAACTGGATAGGTATGCTCTGAGTTAAAAATTTACAAGACAAATTTCAGAAGGGAGCAACTGAAGACAACTGACATGAACATAGCAATGAATGGGTCATCCTGTGAACAGTGGCTGCTTATAAAATGAATCAACACATTTCAGGAACTTCAGCAACTACACCTGCTAAAACACCAACACAGCAAGGAAGAGTGCACCATTGGGTAAAGAAATAGAAAGCCTGTCAATTTGACAGAGGCTGCAAGGCTGGTGGATTAGTGCATAGCTACCTGGAACCTTAATCCTGAGGCAACAAGCTAGTAAGCCTTGGGTAACCAGCTGCTACAACAAAGATGCTCCAAGAGGTTATTCCCATGTATTCAGTCATTGCCTCAGATGTAAAGGTTTTGGGCACATGCCACCCCAGTGCAGCAGGCCAGATGTAGTGGGATTTTTAAAAAAGAATGCCTGCAAATACCACTCAGGAAATGAACCAACCAAAAAAATACACTGCACGCTTACTTTCCAAAATAGTCGGTCACCATTTACAGGACTTTGACTCTCACAGGCTACCATCACTTCAAGTCAAAGTGTGCCCTCCAATGCCAGGTGTTACCTATCAGGTTAGATATCAAAACAGCAAAAGGAGCCTACCATGCCATTTCATCAACCTTTGTCTGCATGGATTAGGGAGCAGGCAAAGGAGATGTCACAGTAGGCATTATGGTCAGCCTACCAGGTGATGTTTTGTTGGGGAATAACCTTGGAGTGATGGTAAGTCGGTATGTTCTCTGTAATGAGGTTGCTGTAATTACCAGCAGCCAGGTCAATAGAGCTGGTGTAGTTGGAAATTTTCTCCAGGCCCATGAGAGTCATTGCAGTTAGCCCCACTCCCCTTCAGCAGAATGGTTTTTTTTGGAGACTCTGCAGTAAAACACACTTCTCAGTGACAGGGTATTTCTTTGGGAGCTGGTGAGGGTGTTATCACCTTCCATAGCATGGTTTCCTGGAGGAAGGAGATGGAGCTCAAAAAGATATGGTGTCTTATTATGATCACCCCAGTCTGACCTCCTCTTTTATAGGAGTTAGTCAGCACCCTCTGCACTTGTCTTACATAATCTTGGTGTGCAAATTAGTGCAACCAAATAAGCAGTTACATGTATTAATGGTTTATTATGTTTATAATTCTTATGTTAGAAAGTGGTTCTAGTATAATATATTTGATGTATTAATTAAGATTGTTTATAGATGTTTGTATACAAATGCATTATACCACAGGTTTAAGGGCAAATTGATAAAGGTTGGGGGAATTAGCTGGGGGAATTTTCATTTTACTGAGTCTCTGGTCTTAGTTATTGAGCATAATCCCTCTTATAGTGTCTTAGGACCTGTTCAAAAAAGACACATCACATGACTAGAAGAACTGGAAGCGTTTTGTGTCTCCTATAGAGGATCTTTCAACAGCTATATATATAGCTGTTGAAAAAGCATGTATAGGAGGTATGAAATGTGTGCAGCTCTCCTGTACATGTGGTATGTCTTTTTCCTTTTCCCTATGTTCAGTAAGTATTATTTTAATTTGGTACTGCTGTGCTGCCCAAAAAAAGATGATTTGGATATAATTCCACATACTGTCCCCTCTTGTGGCCTTTAAGAACTTTGACTTTGCTTTGCAATTTGCCTTCAGGTTTAAGATACTGTGACATTTTAGAACCTTTGTATATTTTATTTAAGGTTGCCAGAAAAGTCTTAACATTAATGCACTTTGAAATAAAGGAACAGGGACAGGAAAGCTGCAGAGTATATTTACTTGATTGTAGTATGCTGTTTATGGACATCATAAATCAATGATGATGTCCACATGTGGAAATTCTACAATTGTAAAAGTGTTTATACCTGCTTCTGCTATACTTCTCACTCCATTAAATATTTTTCAGGAGAAGAATCTAGTGACCAACATGACTAGGGGAAATAAATATATATGAAGATATAAGATAAGGGATAGAAAGAAGACGAGGCTAGAAGAGACCACACATGTTAATTTAGGAGGTACCTGAACTCAAATTTCTATGAACTGTAATTCTTGTCATTAGTCAGGTGATCTCTATCCCTAAAGCTACTTTGATATGTACCAATGTACAAGGTACTGACCTCTTGCGGGGTGCAGTGCAATTTGAAGTTATGATTCTTTGCCTTAAACTAACTGTTTTAATTGTGACATTATGAAGTGAATCATTAAAAAGAGGTAGACACTAAACCCTTGTTTTTTTTTTAAAAAAAAAGCAAAAAATAAACAACATTAGACAACAAGCAGACTCCACTCACATTGGCGCTGCCTGTATGTGACTCTGGAGTCCAGCCTCTGGTATACCCCCAATGGCGCAGTCCGCACCCTGTGCCAAAGTGGATCCTCCCGCTACTCCTTGAAAACCTGTGAAGGTGGAGAACGTTGATGTCACATAGGAATGTGATATGGCATTGCATGCCTCCGTGCACCTACAAGTCCTCTACTGTCCAGCCATGGCCATCGCAACACTGACCAGCACACACAGACACACTGACAGACATACACACACTCACACTCTCTGACAGACTCAAACACAGACACACACACTCTCTGATGCACCCAGTATCACTACAGAGGGAGGGGCGGGCGCGCGCGCGCGCGGGAGAAGTGAGGAGCAGGAAGACTGAGCTCCCTTGCTGCCACCAGGGACCTCTCCTCCAGCCAGTACTGGGTAAATTTGAGCAGTGTAGGCACCTGCAATGTAAGGAGAGCAGGTGCCTACTCTGCATTAGTAATCATGGCCGCAAATATATTAATTGTGGGTTGCATGAAGCCAATGGGCCACGAGTTTGACATGCTTGCTGTACAGAAAATGTCTGTTTAGATTAAGTGTAGTATTCTGTTTGTAAATAATATATATTTAGAGTAAATACACAGGTGATATTAGAAAAGAACTAAAAGCATAAAATGAATAACTCAAAAATATGTATGAAGCAATAAAGAAGACAGTGACTATAATAAATGTAGATGCTAAAGGAATGTGAAATAAACAGCACAGCATTTTGTCTCCACCTAGTGTTCAGAGAGAGGTATTGGTGAGTAGACTGATGCAGTGTTGGAAGCAAATTATCCAATTTACTGGTACTGCCTGCATTGTAGTAGACCATTAAAAGATTTATGAAATACGCATTAACAAAGTATATTAGTGTCAAAAAGAATAAAAGAGAAAAAAGTATCAACCAAAATAACCATGTAAGTGTTCTTTAGGCAAATCTTCTGAATATGAAGAATTTTTTTGCTAGTCCAAACATATGGTAATATCCTGAAGTGTTACTTGTTATTTTTGTGCAAGATATTTATTTTTGGTGTGATTTATTCTTTATGTATCTTTGTGACATCTGCATCTTTGTACCTGTTATAATGCACCTGGGTGCATTTCTAAAAGTGTTGGAAAAGACAAATGTGGGGCAAAGATCTAAACCATGGGTGTCCAACCTTTTGGTTTCCCCGAGCCACATTCAGGAAAGAGAAAGTTGCCAGGGGCTGCACATAAAATATTTAAACTTTAAACTAATATAATTAAACTTTAAAAGCAATTTTCTCAATTTTTATATTTCATTTGTTTAGTAGATGACTCCTTTATTTGTTACACTTTTGTGTGATTGCCATAGTTAAGGATACCATACTAGGGAGCTATCTACTAAACACATATACATGTATATACATATACACATAACTATGGTTATACACATATACACACACACACATAATCACATATCTATACACACTTACAAGCACAGACATATACACACATGCATTCACAGACATATACACACACTCACAGACATACACATAATCACATTCATATACATAATCACAGATATACACACAGACACACACACAATTACAGAGCCACACACACATACAATCACAGACCTATACACACAATCAGCTATATACACACAGACATACACACAATCACAGACCCACACACTTACACATACATTCACATACACACACATACAATTAAAGATCTATACACACATTCACAGACATACACACACACACACGCACAATCACAGACATACATAAACATAATCAGACCCACACATATACAACCACTGGCACACAATCACATACACACATAATTACTGGCATACACACACAAAAATCACATTCATACACACAAATTTAGTAATTAAGAAGTCCACTCAGCCTCCCTATCTTGCTTTGGGGGGACTGGAATGGATCCTCTCCCTGGTGGCCAGTGGCTGCTGCTGTGATTTCATGACAATTCTCTCTGTACATTTTGTAGATAATTGGTCCACTCTTACAAACAATAGTGCCAAAGGACCTGATTTACAATAAATATATAATTTCATGCCATTTCATGCCCAGACATGTTACAATTGCAATTTATTTATTTAACGCCAACAAAATCCGCAGCACTTGCAAAAACAAGGCAAACAATTAAAAGGATACTCTAAACACAAAGCATTTTTAGCTTAATGACGCAGCTTTAGTTCATAGTTCATGTCCCTTCATTCTCACTGCTCAATTCTCTGGCATTTTGGACTTAAATCCCTTTTTTTCCGGGAGCGGAGCCTGACCTTCATGTGGAGCAGACATGGTGTGCTTGAGTTCCTGCAAGTTGTGCAGATTTGAGGGTTTTAACCCTGGCTATGAAAAGACTGAAAAATGCTAAAGAGCACTACTAACAAAGGGGATTCCCTGCTGTTCACATCGAGACCCTGGTCTATTATCCACCAGGGACCAATGCAACGCTTCCGCAGCCTACTCTGGATGGAGTTTGGAAGTCATGGCCGATTTTTCTCACTCCCAAACTACTCCAGCCTCCTGCAGGGCTCCTACCCTCCCCTCCCCACCTCTGGACTGGAGGGGTTAACCTGGTCTCCACTGGTCGACCACACTTACCTCTTGCTTTCAAGGAAGCACGAAATCTGGTGGCTCAATACCTGTGTTGAATGCTGAAGATGGCGGCTGCGTCAACAACAAACACACAGAGCCTGAGCTCATCTCACTGCTGCTTTATGGACACTAGCCTGTTTCAGCTGGATGCGATATTTCAGGACTTTTGGCTGAAGTTACAACAACGCATGCAACCTATACAACATAAGCGGAAGAGGGGAACAAAGTGGAGCAAGCTGAAGCTTTAGAGTGGGACCCCTCTGGGCAACCTTAACGTACAAGAGCCACGCAAATGGAGGATTGCCCACCAGTTACGGCGCATACCACCTCGACCCTCCGTCTACCCTGGTAGGGGGAGAGACCTGGCGCCAGTGGGCACCCAAGTCTGTGGACTAGTGATGCTGGCCAACACGCAGGCCCAGGACCGGGAGGAGAGCCCTGCCCTACAGAGTTTTAACGGATACCCACATGGACTATACAAACGCCCTGCTTGCATTCTCGTTTTGGCAATCAGCTGATCCAGAAATCACCTGCCTGACTGGTATAGGCTGGACTCAGGCATCATGCCAATCTGTCAGACCTCTGCCAAGTTACTTATTCTATGAAATTATTTTATGTTTATTTTCACTTATTTTTTCTCTTCTGAGAGCAGTTCCAATGGTCATATTGACGATCAGCTATTCATACTCATATCTTACTACCCTCAGTCACTGGCAGAGTTTTAGCTAGCATGTGCCCATCACCTACCTTTGATTTCCTTTATTTTATTATCTGCCATGCTAAGACAACTTTATTTTGTGTTATATTATAATATTAGCATTCTCTGTGATTATACAAACATTGCTTCATGTCTCGTTTTTAGCCTCGATTATGGTCAGCATAAAGATATGAATAATTAGCATGTTGTTTAGCATGATATTACTCTCATAAAAGTGTTGTTATTCTGAAAGCCATGTTCCAGTTTACTAATGTTTTTTTTTTATTGTTGTTGTTGGACTTGTCGTGGCTTTGCAGGCTTACTTGTAATCATTTGCAATGTAGTCCTAGCCACACCTCTCCTGGCTGTGACTCACACAGCCAACTTAAAAAAAAAACAAAAAAACATTTTTTATTTTCAAACAGAGTGTGTTTACTTTAGAAGTTTTTTTTTTAATCTCCTATTCTGTTAATCGAACTTTAATCATACACAAGAGGATCAGTAGAGCAGAAAAAAAATACTATTCTAAAAACATCAGACCTCTCTTTACAGGAAATGTGTACAGAGAGTGTGCAGGTCACATTCAGGCAGGTGTGGCTAGGGCTGCATTAACCAAGTGATTTCATTCTTATATGGCATAGAATTGAGCAGTTAGACTGCAGGGGCATGATCTATTACTAAGCTAAAGTTATTTTGGTGCTTATAGTGTCCATTTAATTCTTACAAAACGTGATTGACATCAGCCACAACATTAAAATCACTAACAGGTGAAGTGAATAATATTGATTATATCATTAAAATGGCACCTGTCAAGGGGTTGGATACATTACGCAGCAAGCAAACAGTCAGTTCTTGAATATCATGTGTTGAAAGAAGGAAAATTGACAAGCAAAAATATCTTGGTGAATTAAAGGACCACTATAGTGCCAGGAAAACAAACTCGTTTTCCTGGCACTATAGTGCCCTGAGGGTGCCCCCACCCTCATGGCCCCCCTCCCGCTGGGCTGAAGTTGGAGGAAGGGGGTTAAACACTTACCTTTCTCCAGCACCGGGCTCCCTCGGCGCTGGGGACTCTATTCCTCCTTTGGACATCATTGGCTGAATGCGCATGTGCGGCAAGAGCCGCGCATGCATTCAGTCAGTCCATAGGAAAGCATTCTCAATGCTTTCCTATGCACACTGGCATCTTCTCACAGTGAAAATCACCTGAAAATAGGATAACCCTCAAACCCTTCAGGAGAAAGCTAAACAAACGGAACAAAGGATACAGATAGCACCAAATAAAACTAATCAGTAACTAAAATAGCAGTAAAAGTATATAAAATATTCATTAAAAATACAAAGGTACCAAATAAGTCTTTTTAGGCATAAAAGTCTTCGAGTGTTCAAAAGGACGTCTATGGAGGCAGATCAGGGGCAGAGCCAGCACAATCAGCCCTGGCCAATCTGCATCTCATCATAGAGATGAAGTGAATCAATGAATCTCTATTAGGAAAGTTCTGTGTCTGCATGCAGAGGAAGGAGATACTGATATGTTGTGATGCACACTAGGCAAGACTGAGATAGGAAGCAGCTCTAGCAGCCATCTGAGGAGTGGCCAGTGAAGTTATCACTAGGCTATAATGTAAACACTGCATTTTCTCTGAATGGTATGATTCTACTCACCAGAACAAATGCAATAAGCTGTAGTTGTTCTGGTGACTATAGTGTCCCATTAACTATATTCGTTTTAATTGCTTACAAATAGCAGATAATAGCACTACTGACCCGAACATGTTTACTGACCCAAAATGCTAAATAAAGTGCAGCCAAAAGTAAACAGTGTAAAAAAAAGTTTTATTTTGCTAAATAACACAATCTGTATCCAATCAAATACAAACAAATACATTACCACTTTACTGGTTTCATATTTAGCTTATCCAAAGTGTGTTTTTAACCTTTTAGAGCAACCCTTTTTGTCTCTCTTCACAATATTTAATATATCATAATTTGCATTATAACATGACTGTCATTTGCAAATATTTAGAAAACAGGTCTGCCAAAAATGGGGTACATTGACGTTGTGGCAGACTTATGCAATGTATGATCATATACTGTAACTAAACCCCCATTAATTTTGCCTAGATTAGGTTTTTTTTAGTTTTTAGTTTTTTTATATAACAAAAAAGAAAAACTAATAAAATCTGTAAGCTTTGAAGTTGCGGTTTAGTAGATGAGTGAGTGCGCTGGATCTTGTGTATTGTATCTCATATATTCATGCATTTTTTTGTATACATGCACAATATTTGCTAAAGGTAAACGTGTTTCATTTGATTTACTTTTTCATTATTTTGCATGCAGCCTTCCTATGCAGAATTTGATATCAGTGGGAACGTGTTGGGATTGGTCTTCAACCAAGGCATGATCTGGTAATATTTCTCCTGTATTGCAATTGGCTGGCTTCTTGTTTTTTTTACATAAATGTTAATATAAGATTTGAAAGGGGATATGATTTAGTAATAAGAAATTCTTAATGATACAAAAGTTAGGCTTTTCTTTAAACATGTGGTGCCTTCAGCCTTTACTAATTTTGATTCTAGGTGTCCCTATTTTGTGCTGAAATCCCTCTGTCCCTCTGTAGGAGCTCAGTATTTTTGGCATGTCTGAATTTATACTAGAGTTCCAGAGCTCCACAGCAATAATGCAGTAGTAATTTGTCTCTAAACTACCATGATTATTAGTAAGTCACCTAAAATTTCTCAGAACATCCCCACCCCTGGTCACACCCCCACTCACACCCATGGCCACAACCCCACTCACACTCCTAAAATGAAAGTTTCTCTATTTGTTCACTTTAAATTTACAAAAACGTATACATGGTATATGGTTTCTTGGCCAACTCTCAGACCCATGGCATAGATGTACAGGTCAAAATGTGTAATTTGATCTTGGGAGTTTTATTATTGCATCTTCAGAAAATAGCAAGAATATTTACTAAAGTGATAATTCAAACTGAATTCAACATGAATTACAAAGGCCTGAGTACAAAACTCAAAGCATTGCTGACTTAGAGAATATTTTCAGTTCAACAATTTTTTATATATATATATATATATATATATATTCTCATTCAGCATGGTAGTGATACAACTTGAGGAATGCATGACAATAAGTGTTTTACAAGGCATTGGGTTATCAAGCTCAGAAAGACATGCTGAATTAGGTTTTTTATGTTTTGGAGAGTACAGAAAGAAACGATCAAAGCGAAAAAGTAGTTTATAAAAAATACCAAAGTTGTGACATCTAAGTAGGGCACAGATTGTTAACCCCTTGCGGGCTTGCATACTGGTTTGTGTGGGGGCTCGTTGGTATGGCAGTGCTCATCAAGGGGCTCTGTTCCCTCCTGGCTGCCGGCCTAGTGCTCTAAAGTTTACTCATATGTCTCATATGTCGTTGTGGGAGGTGAGGGAGGGGATAACAAATCCTGTGGTGAGGCCTGATAGTTAACCTTAGGCTCTAACCAAGTGTACTCAGCAGCTGCATTATCCCGTGTGTCACATTGTTTTAAGTAAGAAAAAACATATATATATATATATATATATATATATATATATATAGCAATTATATAGGAAACAAATAAACGCATAACGGTAACGAAAAACATCAAATATAAACATATAGTGGTGGTGCGAACCATGGTGTGAGCCAGTTCGTATCGGTGGAAGGAGGGTGGTCTTCGATTTCTGGAGTTAGTCCCCGACCATCACTGTACTTGAAGTTGGGTCTGGCACGGAGGTAGATCCCTGAGGTGGGCGAGGGGTGAACTGCGCTATCTTAGCAGGGTTCAGATGGGAAAGTCCCGTGTTTCTCTTGCCCGGGAGACCATCAAGGCCTAGCTGTTGCAAGAGGGATTCCAGTTATGGATAGCTGCAGGACCTGTAGGCAGTCCCCTGGTGTGTGAACAGGATCACCTTTGGTGTTTCCCAAGGAAAGGTATGTCCCTGAGGCGCAGCTGTTGTAGTAGTGGCTGCACGGTTTTCCTCCAGGTGAGGGTGCTGCATGTGAGGCCTGGGAACATCAATAATGTAGGCCCTTCAAGGGTTAAGGGGTTCTGTCCTCAGACCGCCACTTGCAGCAGGGCTTTGTCCTGGAGAGACTGGAACCTGATGATAAGGTGTGCTGTAGCTGCTGTGTAGTGCCAATTTAGGCTTGGGGAGGTAAAACATGCCATCCAGCCTTAGCGCCTTTGCCTATTTAGGCGGTAGGAGGCTTGCTATGAGTTGTCTGACATAGTGTGGCCGGTCAGTAAGGCTGATAGACTCCGGAATTCCACTGATTTTTATGTTATGTCTTCTCCGCTGGTCTTCCAAGGTGTCCATCCTTTCAGCAGTGGTAAGCTGTTGCTGCTGTATTTCTTCGATCTGCCATTCGACCGAGGTAAGTCTAGTCTAGTTTTGTGGGTGCTTGTAGTAGCCACCAGGAGGACAACCTTGGCTGTTGCGCCTTCAATGGCTTCCTTGAAATAGGGCATATCCGTGGCGAGTACTGCAAGAGTCAATAGCTGCTAGTAAAAATCACCAGATATTAGCTTCACCTCTTGTAAGAAACTCCATATTTATTTTTTATGTTATAATAGTCTTTTCATAAAGGTAGAGTAAAGAGATAAACAGGTTGATATTTTTCTAACAATAACCTGAAATGTACACAAATGTGTAAATCATGGAAACTAAATTCAGGTAGGCAAAAGTAGAAACAAAGAAATCATAACATGACCAACAGTCTTATAGGGTTGCCACCTTGCATATTTCAGGCTTCCTGATGGTGCCGGTATTTTTTACTGATTGAAATTAGACGCAATATTGCTGCTGGCCAGTAGGTGGCAGTGTGTGGGTAGAGAGAGGCAGGGACAGGAACTTCATCTCTCTGTCTCTCTATACACTCTGAGCCCCCGGGGGAGCAACACAGCACAGCAGATAGCAAGCAGGGACAGCAGGTCTCAATCTGCAATCAGCCTACAGATAAGGTGAGTGGAGGGCCCTAGTAGTGACGAATGGGGGGACACTAGTAGTGAGAGATGGGTGGACTCTAGTAGTGAGGGATGGGCGGACACTAGATGGGGGGCTCTAGTAGTGAGGAATAGGGTGGAGACTATATGGGGGGACTCTAGTAGTGAGTGTCACGTATTCATCCGCTTATAAAAATATGGTTAATGGCATTTACTGTCCACACAGGAAAAGTTGTGCCGAGCAGCAACCAAATCCACAGAAGGGTTAATGCTGAGCAGCAATTATGCAAATGGAAACCTGGTAACTGCCTTTGGGGTCAAAGGCCAGTTACAGCCTATCAGATCTAGAGGAGGGGTATGTAGGCCCAGTTCTCATTCTGCTCAGTGCCATGTCGTGGTTTCCCTTGTTGTTGTCCGAGAGCGCTTTTTTGATCCTGGTAATTCTGGTTATTTGACTTTGGCATTGTTTTTGACATCCCTATTTTCTGGCATCCCTGACTCCTGGCTTTTCCTTATCGTTGTGTCTCTTTCTGTTTCCCTTGACCTCGGCTATTCCTGACTATTCTTTGGTACGTTAGTCCGGTCATTCTAAGGTCCGGTATACGTTACCTATCAGTCCTCTGTGTTACACAATTCTACGTGCTGGATCATTTTGTAATCCTGACAGTGAGGAATGGGGAGACACTAGATGTGGGGAACTCTAGTAGTGAGGGATAGGGGGGACTCTAGTAGTGAGGCATGGGGGGACATTAGATAGGGGGACTCTAGTAGTGAGGAATTGGGGTGGACTAGATTGGGGGACTCTAATAGTGAGGGATGGAGGGACACTAGATAGGGGGACTCTAGTAGTGAGGAATTGGGGGGGGCTGGATGGGGGGATTCAATCTTAAATTGAAAATAATTGTTAGTTTTATATTACTATTATTTTATTTTTCTAATTTTTTTGTAACACAACAGAAGTGGGAAAAGGTGCTGTAATATAACCAGTGACTGGTCAGAGTGGGTGCTTTTTTAACTCTGTATCACTGCTCCTTTGTGGTCCATAGAATGCACTTAAGATACAGGTTACAGTTTCATAAAGACACATGGATCAAGGCAGGGCTCAACAAATCCCAGGCGCCATGGCGGCTTACAATTTTAATCCAACATAAAGTAGTTTTTTTTTTGTGGTTTACAGCATTTTCTTCTTTCCAAAGGTATTTTTTTACTCTTATTTCACTCCTTCTGATTTACATACTGTGATGTCATATCCTGTGATGTCTCACATATATAATTAATTATGCAAATTAGTATGGCTGGTATTTTTTTCTAAGAAAGGTGGCAACCCTACCAACAGGGGAGGGAGACCGGCGGAATTCTCGGGGGGGGGGCAATTGCCCCGTTGCCCCCCCCCCCTGGATCCGCCACTGCCAACAGAACATTGCTTCACTAGAACAATCATGCAAATCATTTATGAAGTTCAATGCATTAATTTGGTTATAGCTCTTAGTGACCTAAGCAACTCTATGTCACACAAATTGCTGCTTACCCTTGGGAAAACACTGCATTCATTTGTGCAAGTACTCCAAAAAATATGGGAGACTTCTATCTAGAATGTTCCAGAAACAACTAAAACTATGCACCATTCATAAAATAAAATAAATTTTAAAAAAACAGACAGGATGCTTTATAACCTTTAAATCTATCTGATTCCCTAGCATGAAGGAGATACACCTTTACTAGGTATTTAAGATGAAAAAGCCCTTGACCCTGACAATTAAGCAATTCAATAATACACTTAAACTCTAAATAAGACAATCTGGGCCTTAGGACCAAATGGGTTGACATTGCACTATTACAAGGTGTTTGTAATGTGCTTTTATCCAGACTGCTGGAGTGAACAGTCAACTCTGGGGTACCATTGCAGTAAACTTCCCCATAGTACCAAAGACCTTAGCAAATTCCTAAACTAATATCACAACTTAAATGCCAATCTAAAGCGGTTTACCAAAGCTGTGGTTCTGTGGATTTAGCGTCCCTACGAGTTTGGAATATAAATGTATATATATATTCCTGTGAGTGCACTTTTCTTAGATTACATATTTTGGTTGAAGTTGGCACCCAGGCAAATACAAGATCGTTAGAGCGAATGCTGAACCCACGTGGATATATATATACCCAGTAGTTTTTTTTATCTTTAATTTATTAATGCAGAATAGTAATTCTGTTTCTTCAAATGGTTTTTTAAAGTCTACTAATTGTTTATTTGTAAGTTTAGGAAATTAGATATTATATAGGATTTTTTAAATATTGGTCTGTATTGGCTGATTTGGGAGATTGTATACAGGTTGATAAAAATTCCTAAAAGCTGCTCCTATATTATCTGGTTTTGATAATCTCATCATGGTCAATGATTTTAGTGATTGTTCTTCTGGCTTTTTCTTTTTTTAAATGACTAGAAGACATACGTTTATTCTAATACCCATATAGTACCATCTTTTTCTTTTTTTTAAATGACTATACATACGTTTAGCCTAATACCCATATAGTACCATCTCCTTTTTAAATATCTAAAATATATAAAAATATTAAATATTCAAAATCTAGCAAGCTGTGACACAACTACTCAATATGTTGTGGTTAGATAAAATAAATAATTGCAGCCAACCCCACCTACTGGTAGTGTAGCACTGAGTCAAGCTTAAATATCAACTTAAAATAACTCCAGGACCACTCACCCAATCACATAAATTCCAGGTATAGAAATGGGTCACAGCATTGCAGGTATGGGATTGGGGGATTAGGTCTATTTACAACTATTGATCTCCCTGACTAGTATCAAGCTTCACTAATGCTTAGTTATTATTCATTATTATAAAACTCCATTGCGTTCAATATGTACATGACCCTAACGACTTTTGAAAGACTTGTTTGCACATGCACACATTGAAAAGGGTACCTCCACAGTATATGCCCAGCTATGTAACAAACACTTGCACCCCCTATTTACCGAATACTTCTTTGGGAACCCTGAGATCTCACTACTGATAGCCTTGGAGGTACATAAATGCTTAAGTGCCAGACATTACATTAACGTATGCACACATGGAAAGAAAGAAACAAACCATAGGATGAAAGAGCTGTTAATTTGTTAATTCATTCACTGTAAACTGATAAATTCTGATAATCCTTATCAAAGATATGAAAATTTAAATATGTAAATGGCCTAATAAAATACGTTATTGTTCATTACAGGATGGGCTCGTTTTATGCTCCTGGTTTAATTGGAATCAATGTCCTCAGGCTGCTAACCTCCATGTACTTCCAGTGCTGGGCAGTTATGAGCAGTAATGTTCCTCATGAACGTGTTTTTAAAGCCTCAAAATCAAATAATTTCTACATGGGGCTGTTGCTGCTTATTCTTTTCCTAAGTCTTCTGCCAGTGGCCTATACAATAATGTCGCTCCCACCGTCCTTTGACTGTGGACCATTCAGGTATAGTAAGTGATATTGTATTGCAATTTGTATTATTATACCGAGCCTGATGAACCTTCAGAACTAAACATTGGAAGAATGTTATATACATATGGCAATACTGCAATACACTGCAGGTCAGATAGCTCAATTGTTTGGTGTAAAGATATAGTATTTGTAGTTCAAGTGTTCAAACTTCAGGGTTACAGGTTTAATTCCTGACTGTGTAACCTTAACTTCTCATTATTTCAAAGTAGCTGAAATGTATTCTTTCTTGTAAAATACATTGATGATATGATTATATAATAACAAAAGGAAAAAACCTCAGGCACTCACTGTGATAATTTCAGGCAGATTTAAGGGACACAGCAACGTTTCAACCTGTCCCCAGGTCTTTATCAAGCTTGATAAAGACCTGGGCACAGGTCGAAACGTTTCTGTGTCCATTAAATCTACCTGAAATGATCACAGTGAGTGCCTGAGTTTTTTTCCTTTTGATATCTGTTTTATACATGTGATTGAGTGCAACCCTCTTTTTTTCTTCTGGTACATAATTATAAAATAAGACATAACACATGATGCATACATAAATGCTGCAAAGCAAGGGTTTGAAGATCCCACTATTAGAAACTTGAAATATAATCAATCAATCAGGATGACAGATGTAGAAAACAAAACATAGGGATGGTGTCCTCTTATGAACCGTCATGGCAATCTTACACTTTTTTATAGTGCTTCCTCAAAGCCACAGTGCTGTACTTACATACTCTGTGAACATTCAAACATACGTTTTGGAGGCTTTGTAATTGATAAAGGTCACATGCCTATATCAATCTTTCATACCTACTATACCATAGTGTGGTTATTGTTAACCATATCTACCTGAAGTGTTTGTTATTCTGGTTTTGATCTAGGATTGCTTCCTCATAGCACAAGCTTTCTGTTATCCCGTGTTATCCCTTCTCATGACTAGTTACTTAAAGGGACACTGCAGTCACCAAAACAACTTAATGATGCAGTTTGTGTGTACTGTTCATTCCTCTGAAGTTGTACTGCTCAAATCTGTGCCATTTAGTTAAATCACTTTTGTTTACCTTTATGCAGCCCTAGCCACTCCTCCCCTGGCTGTAACTGATAAAGTCTGCATGGTTTCAATTTCAATCAGATGTAACTTACTTTGAAAGTTGTTATCTTCCGCTCTTTAATCACACACAGGAGCCTCATGCAAGGTCTAGCAAGCTATTAATAGAGCAGAAGATTAAAAATTCTAAATGAAATGGAATGGAATTTTAAATAAAGGAAGTATAAACATTAGATGTCTCTTTACAGGAAGTGTTTATGAAAATTTTGTAAAACACATACAGGAAGGTGTGACTAGAGCTGCATAAACAATATGATTTAACTCCTAAATTGCAGAGAATTGAACAGTGAGACTGAAGGAGCATGATCTATATATCAAAACTGCTTAATTAAGATAACGCTGTTTTGGTGAGTATACTGTCTAACTATGAGTATTTGCAGAACTTTACACATGTCTGTTTACAGACACTCTTCTCTTTGTTCACCCCTCTTCAGAGTTCTGTTGTTAAGTCCATTAACTCTTTACCTGAATTCTAAAATCGAATTGAATCTATAGTAAGACCTCTGTATATACATGCAGAATATATAGATAGATAGTTCAAATCAAATCATCATGGTCACATTAGCTGAAGAGACCTTGAATGCAAAACTGACAAAAATTATATATACGTAGCCCAGAATTGTCATTTTGTCTTGAGAGGCTGTTTTACACTTCCAGTGAATTTTACACTAAAACACTTTGAAACTAAAAAAAAAAAAACTAATAATTAATTGTACCAATAATTTATCTAAAATTCTGAGTTTGTAATGACAATAAAACTGGATGATGCATATAAGGCTTGCTGTCTGACCTGCAAAATTAAAAACATTTTTAGTGGGAAGAAAAGAATGTTTGACGTTATTCAAGAAACAATGCAGAATGACTTCCCACCATTTGTTGCCAAAATTCTGAGTTCCATAGCAAATCCTGGCCTGATTATACCAGCAATTCTTCTTATGGTGTGAGTATTCGTATATTGTTGAGTAATATATTCATTAAAAATAATATTCATGTATTAATAATGGTGTATTTTAAGAAAATGAGAACCTAATACAAAATGAGACATTCTAGTGATATCATAAGTGATTATGCATTGCATGGCTAATAAAGAAAATAAAAAATATTGTTTGGATTGTGTTTTGTTTATGAAATCTCATAGACACCTCTCCATCTAACTAGAAAATGAAAATAGCAAATGGTCAATTCACATTAAAATAATTCAGTGATAAAACAACAGTCACAATAAGATCTCCTATTAATACTATTTTCACATTATTGTGAAACTTTGAGAATCGTAAAAGCACCCCAGAAGAGATCAGCAAACTAAATTTGTATATATTTAGCTGTATCAAAACTCATTTCTGATATCAAAAATGTGTTCTGTATTTAAATCTTACATTTTCTATAATAAAGAGATAATATAATGTAATAAAAAAATACTCAGCAAGCCATGCCCACTTTTTCATCAAAATTATGAAATGGCAGGGCTCAATCAGAGGCTTCTCTTAGAGAAGCATCATAGCTGTCTGGTGCTCATGCGCGGCTTCACGCTGCACCAATCGCCTTCTTCATAGAGCGGCATTGAATGAGTTCGCGAGCTGAGCTGACTGACAATCTATCAATCTATCTCTTTCTATCTATCTATCTATCTATCTATCTCACTCACTCACTCACTCTCACACACTCTTACTCACTCTAACACACACTCACACACTCACTCTAACACACTCAGTCACTCACTCTCTCACTTTTACTCACACTCACCCACTGTCACTCACTCACTTTTACTCACTCGCTCTCTCACTCCCTTTTACTCACTCTCACTTGCTCTCTCACCTGTACTCACTCTCTCACTTTTCCTCACTCTCTCACACTTTTACTCACACTCACTCTCTCTCACTAACTCTCGCTCACTCTCACTCTCTTTCCCTCACTTTCACTCTTTTTTACTATCTCACTTTCAGTTACTCTCTCTCTCACTCTAACTCACTATCACTTACTCTCTCTCTCACTTTCTCACTCACTTTCACTCTCACTCTCTTTCACTCACTTTCAGTCACTCACTCTCACACTTACACACAATCTCATTCACTTTCACTCTCTCATTCACTCAACCACTTACTCACTCTATCACTCATTTTCACTTTCACTCACTTGCGGTTTGGATCCTCCTGCTGTGTCGCCAGTCTCCTGCCTTCGGCCCGAGCCAACGCTGTGTGCAGGATATCTTTATCTCCCACATGATCGGCTCTGGGTACTGACAGGCTCCAGGTTACTAAAGGACACAGGAGGTGCATTCACAGTGCCTCCTGTGTCCTGATAGCACGTTTGATGTCTTCAGCTAAGCGTGAAGATGTCAAACATGAGTCCTTGACTTGGAAGTCCCTCTGGTGGCCGTCTAAGTGACTGCTACTTTTGGTGTTCCTAGGTTCTAATGTAAACACTGTATTTTCTTTGAAAATACAATGTTTACATGAAAAAGCCTGCAGGGAGCTATTGTACTCATCTGAAGAAAAATGGAGGGAAGATTTACAAAAATATATTCTGAACACTGTTTCAACACTACACTTTAATAAATATCCCCAAATGTATTAAGGAAAGGAATAGGGAAAAAGTGAGACCCACCTATACACATTTTAATGTATTATACAGATAAAGCCAAATACCAAATTAACCTTGCCTTTAAAGTTGCTGTAATTGCAGAACTTGATGAAATGATGTAGTTTCTGAACCCACAGTGACCAGAAAGTGGCTTATTTGCTAGAGGGCAAGCTTTATAGCAGTAGCGCTTTTTCCATACTGCTGCATCTATGGGCTAAACACCATACATCCCAACTTCATCAGTCCTGAAACCGGGACACCGATGGGAAAGAGGGAAGGGTGAAAAGGGGATGGACCTGCTGGTAAGGGGGCATGCCCATTTACATTAATGGCAGATCAGCCTGGTGTGAATACATGCCAGATTGTCTGCCAATCATTTTAGCTAACCCACTAACGGCAGGCCCTGCAGGGAGTACAGTTTCAGTGCTCGCTGCTGGGTCCTAGTGCCCTATGTTGCTCTTGCGCTATAAATGTTTGGACCCCTAATAATTGGGACTGTCCTGCAAATTATGGACTGCTAGCAGGCATGCTAAACTGTGCAGGCAGACAAAGTCATTATAATGCTTAGTGCAACATTTTAAGTAGTTTAATTTTAGTGCCTCCATAATTATTTAATCTTATTTTCCTATGACTAACATGTTCTATGCTCTATTTTTTTGCTAGGATAATGTACTCTAGTAGTTATATGATGCACATTACTCTTCTACATGTCTTTTTATGAGCCCAATCAGAATTTGTCCCTGTAACGGATCACCTTGCACCCCGACTGGGAACTTCTGTTGAAGGATGCTCCTAGTGCTTCCTGAGGGCTCCAAGCACTCCACCAGAGACCATAACCACCGCAGACCTCATGAACCACCGCAGCTTGGTTGGGGTCTCGCCGTCTCCTACCCATCCTGGACCTACGACACGGCTCCAGGTTCCAGTGGGTGAACCTCTCTTTCCCCAGAGAGTGAAGCAAGAACAAGCTCTTAAAATAGCTTAGTGATTATCCAAGGGAGTATGAAGAGCATAGCAATCCTTTGTAGCTGTTTCCCTCAATAAGAGACAGGACTCTAAATTGAGGGTGAAGTAGAACTGGTTTAATGAACACACAGGGCTTTCTTATATACACATTTTCCCACAAGGTTACCACCCACGTGGACTTCGTGGTACACAGAACACAAAGTTACAACAGCCAATCAACACATTACAGTACAGTCAGACACTCCCAGCTAAGGCACACAAACCCTCCCTTCTGCTTGTGATACAATTAACAAACACAATGGGCTAACTTAATTATCACAGGCAGAAAATAAACAGTTTTACCCAAACTCCAGAAACACCCCAAAACACAAACATATCCTACATCCCTGGATAGCCCTGATCTGGGTGAACAACATATCCAAAAAATCACCCAGATTAGAGCAGGGATTCAAAAGTTTTATGGAAGTCATATTTGACTGACCACAAGCATGGCTTTCATGCCCAAAATAGTTCCACAGATTTAGGCTGTGTGGCCTGTCTATCTTCTTCTCTATCCTGGAGATAATAGCTTAAGTGGCTGTGGGAAGCCAATTATCTCTAAGTCCAAAAACTGTTACAAAAACTACTTAAAAATACATAACTCATATAATACAATGTTTAACCCAGATAGCTTGGATCTGAACACTCAATATGTCCGAAAAGCGCTCAGATCCCACGAATACAGTTGGATCGCCATGGGGTTAAACAATAGCAAGGGCTGATGAGAGATTGAGGAGGGACAAAGCAGCCAGTTTCAACTGGTCTGGCAGTGTACCTGGACAACGCCCTGCTGGAGAAACAATAGGACAGGAAAAAGGGGGAGGGGAAGAGGCACATTTTCCCAAGGAATTAAAGGGGCAGAAAAGGTGTTTTAAAATCCAAGCAATGAAGGTAAAAGCTGCAGTTCAGGAACAGTGGGTTCTGTCTCAAGTGCCTTAAACCTCAATAAGTTACAGGGGCCATAATCACAGGGTAGGAGGCTGGCAAGCAGGCCCCTCCAAAATACTCATGGCAAACTCCCTAAAAAAGGGGGAGTTTAACACAGTCCCTAATTAAATTTATAAACTAAATGGGGGCCAGAAGATCATACTGATTCAGCAGCAGAGAAAACGGATTGTACTTTTAAAGGGACACTATAGTCACCCAGACCACTTCAGCTCAATGAAGTGGTCTGTGTGCCAGGTCTCTCAGGTTTTAACCCTTCAGATGCAAACATATGGCTTACATTTGCAAACATCTGGCTTACATTTGGGGTTAAGCCAGCCTCTAGTGGCTGTCTTCCGGGCGGCCACTAGAGGCACATCTGCAACGCTGGAGGCATATTATTCCTCCATCACTCAGAGCGTCCATAGGAAAGCATTGAGAAATTCTTTCCTATGGACACTTTGAATGCGCGCGCGGCACTTGCCGCGCATGCACATTCGGCTCAGCTGATGTCGGCGAGGGAGGAGAGGTCACCAGCGCTGAGGGAGCCCGGCGCTGGAATAAGGTAAGTGGTTGAAGGGGTTTTAACCCCTTCAGCGCCACGGGAGGGGGACCCTGAGGGTGGGGGCATCCTCAGGGCACTATAGTGTCAGGAAAACCGCTTTGTTTTCCTGACACTATAGTGATCCTTTAAGGATTCTCCTTGTGGAAATAATTTGAAGCTTACAGAGTGCGGTTCTTTTTTCTTAAATTTGAAATTCACTTTAAATTTTTACTTTATTTAATATTTATTATTTAATAATAAAATATTTTACCAGGATGGATACATTGAGATTTCTCTCGTTTTCAAGTATGTCCTGAGTAACAACCCTGTGAATAACATTGTGTATTAATTCAGTAACATGTTATAACAGTTGTTATGATTACTAACAATAAAATGTTTTCATATTTTCTCAGGTTAGCTATTTATTACCTAAATGCAGTTTCCAAAGCTTACCAACAAGCAAACTTAGATCTGAAGAAAAAAATGCAGATGGTAAGGCACCACCTATAATTCCTTGAAACACAATAGTGCATTGATATAATGGTTATATTGTAATGTTGCATGATTACAATAAAAAGAAAAAAAAAACTGTTCTATTAGCTCACAAACAGAAGAGCTTGAAAAAAAGTCAACATGTTTCCATGGCAACTGTATATAACGGCTGCTGGAGAATTACAACCAATGGAAATACCATATGCAAATGCATAATGCACCTTCCAGATATTGGCAGTTTATCATTCAATTGCATACTCATTCCTCAGTCAATTACATTCAAACAATTAGAATGTATGATGAAAATACACAATCAGGGTCATTTACTAAAGTAAGAATTCAAAGTGAATTTCAGATTTAAGGTAAAAATAGCTGAACTGGAAAAAGTCAGCTATGCTTCCAGTTTAGCTACTTTGGCCTTAAATTTGAAATTCACTTTGCATTCTCACTTTAGCAAATAACCCTGAATGAAAATATAGGGATCAGGCATATTGGGAGTGAAGTTCTCAATAAAGTTTCCAATTGAAGCAAAAAATAGCAGAGTTCCTCAGTGGAAAAAAAACATCTGAGTATTAACATGATATTAAAGGAACACTATAGTTACCAAAACAATTTTAGCTTAATGAATCCGTTTTTGTGTAAAGATCATGCCTCTGCAGTCTCACTGCTCAATGACATTTAGGCATTAAATCCCTTTATTTACTAGTCACCCCTTCTCTCCTTGTAACTTGTGCAGACTTCCTAAACACTCCTTGTTAAGTGAGAGCTAATGTGATAGTTCAATTGGCAGAGCAGGAAATAAAAGTGTCTAAACTTTAAAGGGACACTATAGTCACTAGAACAACTTCAGCTTAATGTAGTTGTTCTGGTGAGTATAATAATTCCCTTCAGGCATTTTCATGTAAACATTGTCTTTTCAGATAGACATTGCCCCCTAGGGACACCTTTCTTGGCCACTCCTCAGATAGCCACTGGAGGTGCACTGTGTGCATCACTGCCGTTCAGAGTCTCCACGCTCTGCATGGAGACGCTGAACTTTCCTCATAGAGATGCATTGATTCAATGCATCTCTATAAGGAGGTGCTGATTGGCTCAGCAGGCATTTGGCACCACCCCGTCCCACTACCACACCGATTTCAGCCAATCCAATGTTTTCGCTATGGGAAAGGGAAGGCATTGGATTGGCTGAAATCATTTAATTCTGATGATGTCAACAAGGATGCAGATCGGGGGTGGGACCAGCGCCGGTAGAGAAGCGCGGCACTGGAAATAAGGTACGTTTTATTAACCGTTTAAGGGAAAAATGTTATACTACATTATGTAAGTCGCATAGGTTTAATTTTTTTTATTTTATTTTTTTATTCTTTATTTATGTTGTGGAAACATACAGCAGTGTCAAACAAGGATAACATTTTCCACAATTTTTATATAAGAAAGGTACATAAATACATATATTGAATACTTGTCTTAAAAAAGAAACCTCGCTGGAAGGGGTGCAAGAAAAAGGGGAACCCAACTTATCTCCTGCCCTCACCTTTATTCTCATTTCCAGCACACAGACTCCCCTCCTCCCCCATCTAAGGCTACCTATGTCACATAGCGTGTATATTGCTTACACAGGCACATCATTTAGCCGGTCACTGTAATGTCACTCGTCACTACCAACAACTTCCCTCTGGTTCAATCAAAAGACATAAAAAGTGGGTAGACTGCTCTAGAGAAACACTCTCTAACCTTGAATGTCTAGGAACAAAAGCAGTAAAAAGCAAAATAATAAAATAATAATTAAGATGCTGACTAGGCTGTGGTCACACAGAAACCCCAAATGAGGCCCGGCACCTATGATTATCTTCTCCTGTTCAAGGGACGTATGGTGGGTTCAGCCATTGTCTCTCAACCGCCTAGTGACTGGTAGGAAACTGCGTCTCTCCAACAGGACCAAAAAGGGTAAGTCGGCGAAGATTTGGATCTGGTGACCCTCTACAGGAACAGCTGGGTGGTTTCTGGAGCGGGCCAGAATCGCCATTTTCACTGAGACATTCCAAGTGACTGCAATTATGTCTCTGGGGGCATCTGTCGGGGCAGCGGGCTCCTTTCAGATTCGGAACGCTGACATAATAGGTAAGGCTCTGTCCACTGTCTTCTTTCACTTCCAGCACTGCCACCACCTGATTAGCATAATTTAGCAAGGCCTCCGGGCCTACTGCCTCAGATGCCCGCATATCCTCATGTTCCTTCTGTGATGCCACGCCTCAAGTGTGGCCAAGGACAGGTGAGAAGTTGAAACTGTTGGGGGAGAGACTCCACTTGGGAGTGAGTCTCTGTGAGGTGACCATCCCTTTCCCCCTCTTGGGTCTCTACCTCCCCGATGCACCTGAAGATGCCTCCCACCTCAGCTTGCACAGCCAGGCCTCCTGTAAAGCCAATAGCAATTTTTTTATGTCCCCTTTGGTGGAGTTGAGGCATCGGTACCTGAATCGGCTCTGTGGTATACTCCACCCTGGGCCTGCGGAACCATGGGCCTCTCCTCATCCTGCGATTCCTCAGACTCACTTGACTCCTGGGTCTTCCCGAGTGCCATCTTAGGTTGGGCCTGGTACTGTGGCCTATAAAAGGAGCTGCGTATGTCGGACATCAGGGAGCTCTCTGAGTGTAACAGCTTACGATGCTTGCGCCCCATAACTCTGCCAGGGGGTCAGAGTCATAGTAGGTAGGGTTGTTGAGCAAACGTTTGTTTCGTGGCAAATTAGTTGCTTTTTCGTTTTTTAAAGCCAGAGCTAATCACTAACACATCCAGTTTATTTATATTTTTCATAATAAATTTCATAGAACAATTACCTTAAATGTTCTGGCAAACAAAGGTGGTTTTGCTGCTAACTCACCATGAAATATATGTGAGATTGTAACTAAAACCTAATATAACAAAACAGGAGACCTAGAAATTAAAAAGGATGCATGTTAAATATAAAAACTTACATTTTCCTTATAAATAGTGAAATCTGATTAAGAAAAAATGAAAATCCTCACATTTTGTTATATATGAAAAAAACAATTCTCGTTGAAAATCCTTGATAAACTATGGAATAATTGTATATTTAAATCTGTATATAATTTTCTAACCTTTAATAAGACTAAAAACAAACATACAAATCTATAAAATTGGCACAATGCCTGTACAATTTAAGGGAGTGGACCTCTACATCTCTTAAATTGTACATTCCTCACTCAGTTTGGTTTTTGTTTTGCTGGAAATTAATTATTGAGGGTGTACTGTTTCTTCTCTTCCTCTCTTTTTTTAAAAAACTGAATCACTGTTACAAAAATAAGTATCACCAGGACATCTAGATTTGTGTTTTTTTTTTTTTTATATAATAATAATACAATAAAAGGACACTATAGAGTTAGGAATACAAATCAGTATTCCCAATGCTATAGTCTCCCTGTCCCTAGTTAGTTTTAGGCTCCCCATGTGCTCTGTAAAAAAGTAACAGTAATTGTATTTACCTTATCTCTAGCATCAAGTCTCCCTAGGCACTATCACATACTCCTCCTCCTGTGTTGTCCAGTCACTTCCAGGACGATAGTCCAATCCAGTCCATAGTCCAATCCAGTACATCTCATTAGGCATTGGGCACTGTAGGCACATATGCGGTGCTTGCTGCAATCCATCATTGATTCTATTGTTATAGAGAGTCATTGGATGCAATGATTTTCTATTAAAAGCTGTGATGGCACTGCACATGTGCGTGTAACATCACTGTATACATGTGTATGAAAGCCTGAGAGTAACTGTCTCAGATCTCCTAACCAGAGTGTTTGGAGGCATGGCTTGAAGCCTTCTAACTATTAAAAGAAATGTTTTGGGGGCACTTGCAAGGGGAGATCTACTGTGGGCACTATAACAACTTCAATGGATGAAGCTTGTGTATTTAATACAGTGTCCTTTTAGCAGCTAGTCATACCTTACAAGGCTAGAGATAGCAAATACCAGGACAGGAAGACCTACCATTCAACATGATTCATGCTGTAAAGCACATTATCTAAGTCCAGATCAATATTATTTATATGTAACCCTTTCTGGTGCGGCCTACCTTTATTATGGACTATATATGGACAATGGCTTCCATAAACGCACATATCTATGTTTATTGTACTAATTTTTACAGAGTTCAAAAACAAACCATAACTAATCTCACCGGACATACTTTTCACCTGTAGACTATCAGGGATATGGACAGTTACAGCATGAGTATTCCATGTGTCTACAGGTATATATATAGCATAATAATAATATAGCATAATTATTATTTTTTTTTAACCAGCAAAGGGAAGAAGAAAAAAATAAACGGAACAATAATACTCAGACTAATTCTGTAATGAGAGATCTAGAAGAGTTGCTCCCGCCAAGTGCAAGAAATGCTCTCCGACTTCAAGCCATTGGTGAAGGTAAAGCACCAGACTTTCCCTTAATTGCAATGGGAAAATTAGAACAATGTTTGCATATGAACTGCTCTGCATGTAACTTCTTTTTTCAGTGAAATGTTTGGTGCAGTATGATAAAAGTGCAGTGATAATGTATGATTGTAAGAAGGTACATTATGCTTAAAATGTCATGCAGTTACACACGCTTAAAGACGTTCAGACACACATAAGATCATCCAAAGCAGATTTTATTTGCGCATCAGCCTAGGTAACATTTTTGTCTTACAAGAGTTTTTCTAACGCATAACATTCCCACAGCATGTCTCATATCTATATATATATATTACATTAACCATAAACCATAATTACTCACATATCAGACACGCCAGCAGAATATGAAAAGCAGTTTACAACACTGATGGGTTCTTCACAAACTATTAAACAAACAATAGGCATTGATCTGTCATTGCTTTTCCTTGGTTGCTGAAGTGCACTTACTTTATTGTCATCCCTAACTCATGTTTTCCATTTTACTTGTGTTTTTTCTGTCTCTACACTTCTTTATATTGTTTCTACTTCTTGGTGTTGCTCGTATTGGTGCTTTGTCTTACACAAATCTTAATGTTATATATTTAGGGTTTAGTAATTATATCTCATATCACGTTGATTTGAGTTGGGTTCCACCATTGACCTCAATATATTTTCTTTTTCATTTAAGTGCAATTGAAGTAGAGGGAGAAATGTAGCATTTTCTAAATATGTTTTAAGATATTTTTCTTGTGTTTCAATTATTGATCACCACTAGAGTGATCCTATTATTACCGTATGCATTCGCCTATGGTGTGTGTGTGTATATATATATATGAGAATAATCAGCATTTAAATTAATACATGAATAATATTTACATGCAGCAATACACAATATAGCTTTAAAAAGTTGTATGGACGTTATCACTTGTAGCTGTTTGCTATTTGCTGAATGCAAAAAATGCTTAACAAAAAATTTGAATAGAGATTGAATAGGGTTTTTGCCTTTTTTTTTAATAACAATAGCAAAAATTTGAACTTGGGAGGCTAAATTACTATAGATAGAACCAAGAAACTATATAAGGTTTTCAAAAAGCATTAAAGCAATGGATTGCAAAAGTCTTACCATTAATCTACAGATACCAAGTTGTTATTAAACTGTACTCCATTCACAGCAACATGTATACACAATAATAATTTGATTCTTTTTGTTCAATTTCCAGAGAGTCATCTCAACCCTGCTCAAAGAAACACACAGAGTGGCAGTGGGGCAACACCGACAAATAACAAGTCAATGCCAACACCACGTTTAGCTGTTACAAGCCCACCAGTGCCAAGACAAGCAGGATCCCACATGGGGGGATCTTCCTATCATCCTGGGCCTAATCCACAAGGGACACACTCTAGACATTGAAAACGTTCAGCCAATGTTTATGTCTTCCATTATCTCCGACCCACGTCATATAGGGGTTTTGGTTGGTTTCCTTGTGATTGTTTTTTTTTAAGACATTCACTTTTAAGACATTCCCACACAATAGCTGTTAACAATTAATAAATATATATTTTGTCAACAAATCCTTAATTCATTGCACACTCAGTGTACGTAAGAAAGGAAACAATTAAATATTGTGTATAAAATCTCAGGTGAAAGATTTTTTTTTTGATTTTTTTTTTTGTTTTTTTTTTCATCAGAAAAGGGTTTGACCATGTTAGCAAAGAGTAATGCTCTAAAAATGTTATGAAAACTAATCAAAATCCAATAGTTATTTGAGGGAGAAATGTAATATCTCTGGGAATTACATAATTGAATAAAACGTTAAAAATCACCTGTAACATTTGTTATGTAACATATATAAATATCAAGTAAATCTGCTATGTAGGTTACCTACCTTCTGTAACTTAGAGAGCTGCAAGGTGTATATTCCATCAATATTTAACATAAAAACATTTTTTCATATCTATACTTGATAGTGATACATATTACCCAACTGCACATTTGTCTATCATTGTAAACAATGTGATCAGTGTAAAATAAACATATTAATATATAAATCCATGTGTGTTTAATTATCTAAGTCACCATATTATAGACTCTGATTTATAAAGTAGTGTGTTTCTCATAAGAATAATTAGTGTAGAATATTGCATATTCTATGTTTCTATTAATTATTTATGGATGTGTGGATTGACATAAGTAACAGATGGTATCAACAAGTCACAAGGTTTTCTTGTATGAGAACACTGGAATGTGGATTGGGGGTCCTGTCCTTATATAGCTAGGGCTATACTCTGACGTCAGTATGGGCACATCTATATAGTAACTGAACAAAGGGACACGAGGTCTCTCTCTGCTCTTCTTGCTGTACAGCTATGTAACGATGTAACTCTCCCTTCAGAAGTCCAGCAATTACCATCTGCTGTTGAACATCCATGATCATGTAACATCCTTTGTTGTTTTATTATGTATCAGTAACTAAGAATAAACCTAAAGAAACCGTAAGTCAGATTGCGTATTAGTACTTTTCATTAATACATATGTATACTAATGTAGTGAGCCTTTGACCCAAGACTATATATACAAAAGAAGTATATATCAATCGACTGGAAAAAGACACAGAAGAAGAAACGAAGATTTTACAATTAGACACATTTATTAAGAATGCTGTCTGTCTTAGCTGATTGCTTTCTGCCTGCATTGAAATTGAAAAACCATCAATGGCAGCAGAGACATTTTTGTTTTTAAAAGATTTCTTGTGTTAAGAAACACAAGAAATCTTAACTTGGAATTGTGGAGAACTAACAAAGGACCTTCAGGATAGCTTCTTTAACTATTACTTATTTTCTCCCAGACAATAATCCAAAGTGCTTTTTGAATTTAAAACCAAAGTTGCCACACTGAAAGCATAACTGACTTGGAAATGTTTTCCAGTTTGGACATTTTTGTTTCTTAAATTTTAAATTTACTTTGAGTTCCTGACAATGGTCACTTTAGTGAATAACCCTGAGGTTATTTTTGCTCCTTAAATTTAAAATTTACTTTGCGTTCCTGACAATGGTCACTTTAGTGAATAACCATGAGGTTATTTCTGTTCCTTAAATTTTAAATTTACTTTGAGTTCCTGACAATGGTCACTTTAGTGAATAACTCTGAGGTTCTTCACTAAAGTGAGCATTGTCAGGAACTCAAAGTAAATGTAAAATTCATTATTTATTATTTGTATCAATGACGCCTGTTCATAGTTTAGTTGCTATATGTCTTTTCAATTTGCTTTCACTTAATTTTTTTGTATTTAATTATGCGGAAGGTATTGTGAATTGAACATCATGACAGTATACATTTATGAATTATTGGTTATGGGTTATTTCCTCGTTTTTCTTTTTTTTTTTTTTTTGCTGTGCTTCCCTTAGACTGGGGTGTAATGGTGTTCTATTCGGACTATTTAATTGAGAGTGTATCAGAGAGAGTCTGTTCTACATAAACTATTACCTGGGTTTATGGAGGTTTGTCTATGCATAAGGGCTAAGAATTGAGGTGTGAGAATATGTCCAAAGTGATATCAGTGTGATATCTTTTGATAGATTTTCTTCATACTGTGAATATGTTTTAACTTATAATTAATAAAGGAGAAGTTTTTTCCCAGGAATGTTGGCACAGAACAGAGGGGAGCTTCTTGTTGGCTTGTGAAATGTCCAGACTCACAATGTCTAATAAAAACAGTGATTGGGCAATTATTCAGATGATTGATGTGCGTGTGCGATTGATTTCGTCTTCCATTGATCTGTTTTGCATGAGATAGCAATCAAATATTTTTTATTTACTCTCTGTTCTCTATGTTCTGACAGCATAGCTAAATTAATTTGGTTTATATAAAATATTAACTAAATGGTGTTTCAGTGGAAGTCAGTGAAATGGTGACTTTAGAGTTCTTTCTCAACAATTTCTCCCAACAGAGAGGAGGATGACATATTTACACTGAATAAAATTTTAAACGCAACACTTTTGTTTTTGCCCCCATTTTTCATGAGCTGAACTCAAAGATCTAAGACTTTTTCTATGTACACAAAAGGCCTATTTCTCACAAATATTGTTCACAAATCTGTCTAAATCTGTGTTAGTGAGCACTTCTCCTTTGCCGAGATAATCCATCCACCTCACAGGTATTGCATATAAAGATGCTGATTAGACACCATGATTATTAGAAAGGTGTGCCTTAGGATCCCTCCACAGATTTTCTATGGGATTAAGGTCTGGAGACTGGCTAGGCCACTTCAGGACCTTAATGTGCTTTTTCTTGAGCCATTCCTTTGTTGCCTTGGCTGTGTGTTTTTTGTCACTGTCATGCTGGAATACCTATCCATGACCCATTTTCAATGCCCTGGCTGAGGGAAGGAGGTTCTCACAAAAGATTTGGCGGTACATGGCCCCGTCCATCGTTGCTTTGATGCGGTGCAGTTTTCCTGGCCCCTTAGCAGAAAAGCACCCCTAAAGCATAATGTTTCCACCTCTATGTTTGATGGTGGGGATGGTGTTCTTGGTGTCATAGGCAGCATCCCTCTCCCTCCAAACACAGCGAGTTGAGTTGATGCCAAAGAGTTCTATTTTGTTCTGATCTGACCACAACATTTTCATCCAGTTCTCCTCTGAATCATTCAGATGTTCATTGGCAAATTTCAGATGGGCCTGTACATGTGCTTTCTTGAGCAGGGGGAACTTGCAGGCACGGCAGGATTTCAGTCCTTCACGGCATAGTGTGTTACCAATTGTTTTCTTGGTGACTATGGTCCCAGCTGCCTTGAGATCATTAACAAGATCCTCCCGTGTAGTTTTGATCTGATTCCTCACCGTTCTCATGATCATTGAAACTCCATGAAGTGAGATCTTGCATGGAGCACCAGACTGAGGGAGACTGACCGTTATTTTGTGTTCCTTCCATTTGAGAATAATCGCACCAACTGTTGTCACCTTCTCACCAAGCTGCTTGGCGATGGTCTTGTAGCCCATTCCAGCCTTGTATAGGCTACAATATTGTTCCTGACATCCTTGGACAGCTCTTTGGTCTTGGCCATGGTGGAGAGTTTGGAATCTGATTGATTGTTTGATTGCTTCTGTGGACAGGTGTCTTTTATACAGGTATTGAGCTGAGATTAGGAGCACTCCCTTTAAGAGAGTACTCCTAATCTCAGCTCATTATCTGTATAAAAGACATCTGGGAACCAGAAATCTTGATGATTGATAGGGGATCAAATACTTATTTCACTCATTGACATGCAAATCAATTTATAACTTTTTTTGACATGCGTTTTTCTGGATTTTTTTATTTTTTTATTCAGTCTTTCACTGTTAAAATACATCCACCATTAAAATTATAGACTGATAATTTCTTTGTCAGTGGGCAAAAGTTCAAAATCAGCAGGGGATCAAATACGTCATCTGCCCACACTAGATAGCGCTATGAAATTCCTGCGCATGCCCAGTTAAACACTTGGGCATGCAAACGGGAATTTCATCTATTCATTCATTCGTCAGAAAGACGAATAAATAAATAGAAATTTCAAACGAATGAACGAAGACCTCTTCGCTCATTTGTTTGGTTTATTACAAGGAGGGAGCTACCGGCGCGCAACTCCCTCCTTGTAATATGTAAAAATAGAAGCGGCGGGGAGCACTTCCTAAGCCCCCCATGTCCTCCCTCACTCTATGGGGGTCAATATGACCCCCATAATAGCATAAGGGAGATTAAAATCTCCCAAATGCCCCTACTCGCAATGCAGCAAGTAGGTGCATGTCTACTAAACAGTGAGCAGCCAGCAGCCCCCTAGTGTCCCCCTCCTGAGCCCCCACCTGTGCCGCATGAGTGAGGGCTATTAAACTGAAGGGGGAACAAACGCCCCCCATTTGCCCCCACCCATGAGTGGCGGCGGGTGGGGGCCCCTAAATGAAAATGGGGGGGGACCTATTGTCCATCCCCGACCCATTGAATTGAAAGCAACTAATCACAGTGTTATGAGTCAAATTACACAGCATGGGATATTTCCCACGCTGTGCAAAATGACACAAAGCACTCTGATTGGTTGGATTTCAAGCCAACCAATCAGAGTGCTGTGACAGGTAAATGTAGAGACTTACCTGTCAGTCTCTTCATTTACCTGTCAGATAACTCTGATTGGTTGGCTTGGAATCAACCAATCAGAGTGCTCTAAGTCAAATTGCAGTGCGTGGGAAGGCTTTATAAGCCTTTCTCAGCCCTGCAGAGCTCAGTGTGCGCATTTCCCTCACTGGGTGAAGATGGATTACTTTTTTAGCATTGATTTATTTATTTTTTTAGTCAGTTTTTTTTTTTTTGCGCTCAGGTTTTTTTTTTTTTTCAGTTGCGACAAGTATTATAGATTTTTATTTGGCCTTTTTTGGGTCTG